AACACTTCCATTACCCACCAAAGGTTCTCCTATGCTCCTTTGCCTGCTCCCATCCTTGGCGCCAGGCAAACATTTGAACTAATGGTGGAATTTTTTGCTTTTGTCAGCATGTCAGCCCGCCAACCTCGTCTTACTTCAGAGGACTGGTCTGTCTATCTTGTGGAGGAGGCGTAGCTTTGTAACTATGGCAACTGTTGGTTTTTAAATTAAACAGGAGGACATTCCTCCTGAGAAATACTTTGGTGAGAACTGAGGCATCGTTACTATTTTCATTCAGAAATCACAGATGCCTCTTACATTTTCTACCATCAGTGGAGATCTTCCAGAATTACTGGTCTCTGTGCTTAATTAGAGAGAATATTTGGTTATAAACAAATAAAAAGGGGAAAGAGGAAATGATAAATAGAGGAAAACACCATAAAATACGTTACTCCTCAAGGATTAGGGCTATGAGGTCCTGCTATCATGTTTTCAGTTTCGTGGTGTTTGGTGTTCTGCAGCTAAAGCATATACAAATGCTAATGTGTTCCCTCATTTCCCCAGAGAAAGGAACTCCAGTCATCCTTGCAGGGCTTCACTTTGCCTTTGGTTAATCCTTGGCTTTTCCATATCTTAAAATTCAGAAATAAAAAACATATATAATGCAGACTGGCTGGATTTCCTTCTATTATCTAAAGGAGAACATGGAATATCAGTAGATCTAAACACCTTTTTCAAGACAGTTTAAGAAAAAAGCTAATTTATAAACCCCTTGACATTGCTCTAAAAAGAAAATCTGATAGAAAAAGCAGGACACAAAATTTAGCATTCATTATGCTCAAAATTAGCATATGTTAATGGAAAGAAAAGAGTTGAAGAAAATTGAATATACCAAAATTCTACTGGTGGTTAGAAACAGTGTGGTTCTTCTCTCCCCCTCCCAGCCCTGCCTTCTTTCTACCTCTGTATTTTCCTAGCAGAGCTGAGTGGTTCTGTGCTTGGAAAAACTGAATCTAATGAGTCCTGTTCTCTTTAATGAGTCTCAGTATACTTAACTCTAGCGATCAATATTGACATCCCTTCTAGCGGGCAGGACAGCTTGTCCAGCGACCTTGTGTGTCCATCGATGCCTCCACTGCCCATTCTGAACCAACCGTTTGGAGATTCGCTCCTAACAGGTGTCCAGAGGAGGTCTGCCTGTAGCTGGCTATGAAATCCTGACCTTATGGGCTCCCTGGAGAAACTGTTCAGATCTGGGGAGAAAGGCCTACTAACTCAGGCTAATCACAGTCGCCAGAAGGTATAAGCCAGAATACCCGTTCATAAAGATACCATGGGACACAGAACTGTCACATGGGCTGAACTTCCCCAGGATTTTTCTTCCACTCTTACTGCCTGTACCTGAAGCACTACGACAGGCTGCAGTTTAAGGCCTGCTGCACGGGCCTTCAGCCCGGGCAAGTTCACTATGGATTCAATGTGACCAAAGAAATGACAGTACAATGTTCTTGGGGTGAAAGGGTTATACTCGACTTTATTCCCACAGTGGCAGGTCAGTCACTAGAATCACATCCACTCAGAGTGAGTCTGCAGGCAGCAAGCTGGCCTCTGCCTCTGGGCCTCTCTGCCTGCACAACCATCTCAGTCTCTGTCCTCGGCGCTGCCACTACTCCAACCTCTGCTCTGCTCTCCTGCAGCCGTGCAGCCCTGCCACCATGTCACACAGAGCACTGGGCGGGGCTCTCTATATAGAGTCAATAATGACATATTGCAAAACAATCTCCATGCTGTCTAGTTACCATCTGTCACCATCATACATGTACTTGTATGTGAGCTCTCTCCTCTCCAGTCCTAGCTCTGGGTAACTCCAAATGTCTGCAATTTCAAAAAATAGTTGTGTATCATATGAATAATACATAAATACATTTCCTTTATAAAAATTAATACAAAAATTTTAATGCCCCTATCTCCCAATCCCACCTGCCCATAGACTGTCTGTGTACACTTTCAGACCATTTCTATTCATGTACATTGTTATATATTGTTTTGTTTTTAACATTACTAGTATCATACTCTGCTTTGTTCTGCGATTGGTCCTGGGTATCTTTCTATGTGGGCATATTGTTTTTAACTGCTACATAGTATTCTATCCCAGGGTTATACCCTAATGTATTAGCCATCCTGTAAAGACTAACATGTATATAATTTCCATTTTTCCACTATTACATTGCCTGTCATGAACATCCCTATATATCCCTGTTGTGAACTTGAGTATTTGTCTATAAAAGATGCCAAAGAGTAGATGTGATACATTAAAGGAGAAGTGTATCTTACATTTTCAGTAGATTTGTACTGCCAAATTGCCCTCTAAATCTCCGAAGGTGTACCACTTTGCACCCCCCCAAACAGTGATACTGCAGTTCTACTATAGTCCTTTCTTCAGGGTAAGGCTTTGGTCCACAGGAGCATCTGGTATTAACTGCAGTCCAGCCCATCTCTCTCTCCTGCTCAAGCAGCCACAACACCGCCCCTCCCCCTCCCCTTCCCCTCTCAGGTGCCGATAAGCCCTCTGTTGCCCAGGTAATTACCCATTGATATGGAGATGAACTCCTTAAAGCCACACTTCTTTCCACCACTGAACGCCTGTTGATATGCAGATGTACCAAAGCCAGGTGAGATATTCTGGAAATGTTTCAATTTTACCCACAGTCCTGCTCTCTAATGTTAATTAATTTAATGAGACATTTAAACTTTGCAAAGAGAGGCTATTTAAGACTGAATAGTATTTTTTTAAGTTGGATTAGAGAAGTTGTAGCAAATTATTTTAAATGACGTTTTAAAATGTCAACCAACTTTACATCATCTTTTTTTTCTTTGTTGAGGATCAGAATTACCTGGGGACCTTTTCAAAATCCCTATACCCAGTTTATGCTCCATATTAATTAAGTCAACATGCCTCAGAGTGGGAGTAAAGAGCAAAAAATTTTGCTTTAAAAATGTAATTCCTAGAAAGTATAAGACAATCATACAATTAAAATATTTCAAATAACTTTGAAATGTTATTTGAACTTTCAAATAACTTTTCCTGTGATCAAATGATTCCATGATACAGTAGATCAATTGAGCAATAATTTACAAAATGAGATATAATACTAATAAAATTTGCCAAATTGAGACTTTTTTTCCCTTTATTATGCTCAATCATTTGGGGTTTTTTTGTTTTTTTTTTTTGGTATCATCGATATACAATCACATGAGCAACATTGTGGTTACTAGATTCCCCCCATTATCAAGTTCCCCACCACATACCCCACAAATTGAGACTTTTTAAGGTGAGTTTTTGTTTATAAAATTGAGTACAGAAAGAATGCAAATTAATAGTGTTTCCTTTATATTTATAATAAGCTGGCATGATACAAAAATAGCAAAGGCTGTTTTATCAACCTAAGAAGGTGTTTATAATGAAAAGTGGACAGACCTCTTAGTAAGCAGCAAAAAGCACTTAGGAGAAACTCATTAAGGATTCAAGTGAATCATGGGTTTTTCTGAATCATGGGTGGGGAGAAGTAACCAGAGAGAGCCTTATTTGCACCTGCATTTTGTCTTGCTATGTATGTACTAGATATTAATTTTACTACCTACACACACTTCCACTTAATTACTTCTCTAGTTCTAGAGAATGATCCGAAACTCAAGCTTCCCGCCCCAGCTGGAATGGATGGGATGCGTGTCCCACCCGATCAAAGAGCGAGCCAATTTCCTATTGCTAGGCCTGTTGCCAAGTGAGTCAGCACCTGTGCCCTGCAAGAATGCATACAAACCTGAGCTGCTTTGTTTTGGAGAAATTTAAAAACCTGCAGCAGCATGAGGGAGGGGACTTTTTGACCTCTTCTTTCTGGGGAAACAACTCAAACCTTCCTTTGCTGTGTTGCTTTGGATAGCTTCGAGTAGAGCTAGTAAAGTTGGCTTTTCCATTGCATCTAGAAGGATTACAAGAGAGTTTTGTCATTGTTTTGTAGCTTTTTTGCTTCCTTGCTGGGTCCTTAAAGGGCAGTTGGTGCTATTCACATACACCAATTGGTTGGAAGTCTTCAATTTGGACAATAGTGTCTCCCCTTGTGCTAGCCCATCCCCTTCCCCAGACTGAGGTTCCCTGCTAAAACAATGGTATGTGACCCAACCCTTTCTGATCTAAAGGGAATAAAATTACCTAAGAGCTCTAAGGCAGTCCTTTGGGGAAACTAACCTGGGACTTCTGTGCAGCTGAAGTTGTGTTGTGACAACGCATCTTACTCAGTCATTGTGAGTCTTCACAAAAGCCAAGCAAGCAACTAAAATGGGCTGTGTTCTCTCTGCCGTATTTTCCTCTTTATCTTCTCTCTTCTCTTGTGTTCTTATCATAACCTAGATTATCGCTCCTTTTGTGAGCACTCTCTTTACTCTTCTTACTGGCACTGCCACAATAGTGGCGCAGTCTTATCTTTCTACTTAAGAAAAGGAAGTACAAGTAGGAAGTAGAAAAAGGAAGAACAAGTTTAAGTAAATTCATCTCTAAAGAAACTTACTGCTTTTATCCCTATGGCTTCTTTATATAAAATTCTACCCTAAGACCTGACTGTTCTGCATGTGGTTCATGGTTGGGCTGAAACTTTCACCTGAACTATTTGTGTGTTTTTGCTACTGTTGTGGTTGAATAGAGATAAACATTCCAAGGTTTTCATGTTTTTGGAGGTATGGTTGAACCTTGTTTTTAAAAACATCCCTGAAGGAACCCTAAAGTGACTGATAATTCTGTGCCACTTATGTTTATTTATGTCTCAGGAAGTGGGTATCTTTTTTCTTTACCTGAAAGCCCAACCCTTTGGTTTAAAAAGAACATGTTGTAGGAAAGAAGCCTTCGAAGCGTGAACTGGCCTCATGACTCACCTCACCTCACCTCTGTCATTGTTGACAAGCACAGTGTCAATAGTGTCTGTCTGAACCTGCCTGTAATTTGCCATAATCTTTTCATTGTCTTGCAGGACTACCAGCCAGACTCCCAGAAATCATGTTGGTGGGATCCCAGTCCTTCTCACCTGGAGGGCCCAATGGAATCATTAGAAGCCAGTCCTTTGCGGGGTTCAGTGGCCTTCAGGAGAGGCGATCCAGGCAAGTCGTGTGTCGTTTACTCCTGAGATGCAACTTGAGAAGGTTTTGAGCTCTGACACTCCGAAGAGGGTCTGTGTGCATGCAGCCTTGTTAAAGCACTGACAAACACACAAACACACACGTATCATTTTCATCTCTTTCATGAAAAAGATGTAATCGACCAAAAATTAAGTGCTACAGTTTCTTTTCTATCATTTAGAGTTCCTCCTGCAAAGGGGATGGCAGGGGACCTAGAACACGCTAGCCATGCATGTGTATAGCTCTGCCCCCTCCATTCCACCACTTTGGAAGCCCATTTTCCATTGCATCCAGATTTTGAAGACTTTATTAGGGATGGAGTCATGCAGTAGATAAAGACTGCCTCAGCAGATTGACCCTGGGGAGCAGATATCATTTAGACACAGACTTCAAAAGTTAGTTTTCCTAGAATCGTCCTCAACTATATTCGAACATAGGGAAGCTCAAGAAAGAAAATACAGTAGGTAGTGAATTAGGTGACATGGAATAAAGTTTGTCTTTCATTTTTCTGACATGATAAAGGTTTTACGCTCAGGGCCTATGTGCTTTGGCCTGTACTGTCCCCTTTTGTACACATGGTGATGGCCAAGGAACATAACCTAATAACTGACTTGGGAGGCACACAACAGGCACCTGCCAGACTCAGAGGTCACGGTTTTCCTGTTGACAACTGGGTCAGTGAATGGTCTGGCCTCTGCTTCTAATCAGATCAGTAGTTTGGGTCTAAGTTATCAGGTATCCATCTTACCACTGCAGGCTGCCTTCCTGCTACTAATAGAAGTGTTGAGTTTTATGTCATAGCTAAACATAATTTATGCATATAATAACATAACACCACATAAAGCTTTAAAAAAAGCTGTTGATCCAGCTTTCCTTTAACATTCTATAGAATTAGCTATTTGCCATGCTATGGCCCTTTATCAAAAAAGTGCTCATTCACACCCTAGTCAGTGAGTAGACCTTGTACCTGGTGCTCCATGGCGCACATATTATTTCAGGTGGATTATATCCTTCTACTTATTCATTATTCCCACTGCAAGTGTTTGTCTTTGGCTTCCTGTGAGGTTTCAGTGGCATGATACATCTTCACTCAGAGTGTGATGTTACCTGAAGCCAGGCTTTGATTCTGCGAAGCTGCTGCCAAGCAAAGCTTCCCAATTTCAGCAGTTAATAAATATGATACCAAGAAGCTAAATGTAGAGTGCCTCAGGTAAGGGAATGTTACTTTCCCCAAAAAATCACAGGCTGAGTTTGTTCTCCTCAGCTACTGTCCCCACCGCAACAAAGAATTGAAAGGCAGAGACACAATAGTGAAGCAATGTGAAAGTTTTATTTGAATCCACTCCAGGGGAGGATAGAGCCACAGTCAAGGTACACAGAGGCCCTGACTTTTAGGGAAGGTCTGTCATGACCCAGCAGGCAGGCACTTCTTTGACTGACAGGATGCGGTCATTTAATTAACAGCTCTAGTTATACACCCATTCTCTTGGTGCACACGTCTTTTCCCAAAATGCACACAGAAAAAGCCCATGGGAGGAAGGAGCAAAACCACAATTTTATTTTAATGAGATTATGATGAGGTGTGGCTTGGGTGGTTCTTAGTTTTGTCCAGTTGTCCCCACACTGGGATCTGGTTTGGCCTGGTTCCAGTAGACAAGAAGTTACCTCCCTGCAAAGCCTTTGTGGTCTTCATGTGGGACCCCTTACCTGAGCAGTTTGGGCAGTTTTTTCCTTGAACATTCTCTCTCCCTTCCCCGGCTGCTCATGCCTGTCTTTCTGCCTAACAGAAACACGAATACAAACACAAGATGATTACAAAGGCACTTCTTTGGTGGAATCCATTTAGATGCCTGAGGTTCATCATTTCTTTCTCTCCTTTTCCTTTCCATAGATGTAATTCCTTCATTGAAAATGCCTCTGCTCTCAAGAAGCCGCAGGCCAAACTGAAGAAAATGCACAATTTAGGACACAAAAACAACAGTGCTCCCAAAGAACCTCAGCCTAAAAGAATGGAGGAGGTCTACAGGGCCTTGAAGAGTGGGCTTGAGTAAGAATATCGAACCTAATAATGCACTGAAACAGTTTTCCATTCTGAAATGCTCAGCGGGGGTGAGGGGGTGTCAGAGAAACTAATCTTATGAGATAATTTTTAAGTGTCTGTATCTGTAGTTGATATTTTATTCTTGCATCTTAATTGAGGAAGCCTTAAATGAGTCTCAAAGGTGAGAAATGTGTTGGGTTTCCACATCACATCCATATATTGTAGCAGACCTGAAATAGTAATGTGTTTATATTTAATTCTGTATAGTATTGATTTCACTTAAACAGTGGTGGACAGGCATATCCATTTTAGAAATCACTGAAAAAGCATTCTTAAACCTTCCCAAGTATATTGTAGGGATTGTTTGCCCAGAATCAAACTTCCCTGGTGTATGGTGACATACCCACAGCTGGTGTTGTATTTACCTAGACGGGATTCTGTGAGCACAGACCCAGGACTGACTTCATAGCTGTCTGGCCCCTTCCCTCCCCGTTGGCTTCTTTCCTGGGCTTTCCACCTCACAGGGGTTCTCCTTTTTTGGCCACCTGGATAGTATCCCATGCAACTACTAGAGCTCTCAAAACATTGAGAAATTGGGAAAAAACAGAGCCTCTTCCCCGCCATCTCTGCCATCCACAGAGCAAAGTTCAGACTCTTAATTTCCCCTTCAGAAGGAAAAGGTCAGCAACAGAGCTGAATTCCACTTGACTGTCACAGAGTTCATGATCATGTCACATCTTGTCTTTGCAGCGAATATCTAGAGGTTCACCAGATGGAACTGGACAAGTTGACAGCTCAGTTAAAAGATATGAGAAGAAACTCTCGCCTGGTAGGTACCATCCAGTCATTAGGATGTTAATATGGTGTGCTTTTTTTGGTTGTTGTTCTTTGGGGTTCTTTTGGGGGTGATTTTTGTTTTGTTTTGTTTTATTGCCAAGTATATCCTTTTACTGGATGGGGATGAGGATGAGGAAGAAACTTTAAGAAAGGCAAATCCAAGGAAAAACATACTCTTTGCTTCCTGATGTGTATTTTAGAAGCTTCAATTTCTTATTAGTGTTTATTTAAAAAATATTTTTCAGTATTTTTCTGAGCATGTTTGTGCAGATAAACTTTATAATCAGAAAAAAATATAGAAACTCACTATGTCTCTTCCCCCAAATAATATAAGGAAATGAAAAGTTGGAGTTTTCCTATCATATTGTTAGTACAGAATTGGAGACCCAGATTTTTTGCTTTATTTCCAATTTTTAACAAATGGACTATGTTATCGATGTTGGGGAAGGAAAAGAGACCCAAGAGGTGACTGTTATGAGAAATCAGAGGAGTCCTTGAGCTACTTGAACAAAACATTATTTGAGATGCTTGCAAATTTCCTCTATTCTAATGAATTTATGAGGATTCATCTGAATAGATGTTTCTAATGTATACATACTATTTTAAATAATTTTGTTCAGTTCTAAATAATAATACCCTAGATGTGCTAAAATAGATATTGTTCTTTTCAGAGGCTTAGAGGTTAAAGGCTTTATAGACTTTAAAGGTTTTCCATTCAGATTGCCCCGTCTATGTGGAACTCCTTGGGAAACGGCCGTCAGAGCTTCTCAACGCTCTTGACCCTCCTCTGTAGCAACAAATAGTCCCCTTGGAGAACAATGGCGAGTTGGTGGAGGGACATCGGCCAGGACCTGGTGCTCCATGAAAATCCCCTTGAAGGGGGACGTGGCAGTAGTGTACTGACTCTACTGTGATGCTGTGAGCACCCAGGAAATGAACTTGTTTTAAAAACAATTAATGAAAAGCCTACCACCATCCTCAAGGACTCTTCTTAATTTTTATGTGTTTAAACATGAAGGCAAGTCTTTTTTTAGCATAGATATCACCGCCACGTTTTATGTTTACAATATTTATTTTTGAACAAGTTCGAAAGTGAACATGATTTTATGTCTCCCTCAATATGTAGGAGAGGAGAGCGCCAAGCAAGTGAAAACCTTACAGCTCCCAAGAGGCAGAAAGGACTGGGTAGAATTCTGGAGACAAAGAGTATAAATAAATATTGGTTCTTAAAAATACTCTTATTGGTATTTAAAATAAGCCAGATCTTTATTTTTTTAAAGCAAAGGTCAAAAAATCCAGCAGGACTTTGAAAGATTGATTGTTATTTCACTGGTAATGCAGAAATGCAGACTTTAGTATATCATTTATTAATATCCATAACAATCTTGAGGAAGCTGTGTTTTTTTTCCCACCTATTTCGCCGTCTCCCACTTCCCCACCCTCCCACCCCAGGCGATCACCAGTTTGTTCTCTGTATTTATGAGTCCATTTCTGTTTGGGGTTTGCTTGTTTTGTTTTTTAGTTTCCACAAATACCGTTATTTGTGTCTCTTTCTCTGACTTATTTCACTTAGCTTAATACCTTCTAGGTCCATCCATTTTGTTGTGAATTGCAAGATGTGGTTCTTTTTTATAGCAAATGTTCCATTTTATGTGTATATACACCACATCTTCTTTATCCATTCATCTTTGGGCACTTGGGTTTCTTCTATATTTTGGCTATTGTAAATAATGCTGCAATGAACATAGGGTTTCATGTATCTTTTGAATTAGGGTTTTTGTTTTCTTTGGGTAAATCTAGAAGTGGAATTACTGGATCGTGTGGTATTTTTATTTTTAGCTTTTTGAGGAAACCCCATACTGTTTTTCATAGTAGCTGCACCAATTTACGTTCCCACCAACAGAGCACAAGGGGTCCCTTTCCTCCACATCTTCATCAACACCTGATTATGTTCACTTGTCTTTTTGATGCTAAGCATTCCAACAGGTGTGAGAATATATCTCATTATGATTTGATTTGCATTTCCCTGATAATTAGTAATGTGGAGCATCTTTTTATGTGTCTGTTAGCCATCTCCATATCTTCTTTGGAAAAATTCTGTTCAGGTACTTTGTCCATTTTTTAATTGGATTCTTTGGGGGTTTTTGGTGTTGAGTTGTATGAGTTCTTTATATGTTTTTGGATACTAACCCCTTACCATATACATCATTTTCAAATATTCTCTCCCATTCAATAGGCTGCCTTTTTGTTTTGCTGATGGTTTCCTTGGCTATTCAAAAGCTTTTTAGTTTAATATAGTCCCAGTTGTTTATTTTTGCTTTTATTTCCCTTGCCTGAGGAGATAGATCCAGAAAAACACTGCTAAGGCCAATTGCCAAGAGTCTATTGCCTTTATTTCCTTTAGGAATTTTATGGCTTCAGGTCTTATATTTAGATCTTTAATCTGTTTTTAGTTTATTTCTCGTATGGTTTAAGAAAGTGCTCCAGTTTCATTCTTTTGCATATAGCTGTCCAGGTTTCCCAACTCCATTTACTGAAAACACTTACCTTTTCCCCCTTGTATATTCTTGCTCCCTTTACCATAGATTGACCATATGAGTCTGGGTTTTTTTCTGGGCTCTCTATTCTGTTTCATTGATCTATACATCTGTTTTTGTGCCAATACCATATGTTTTGATTACTATAGCTTGGGACATATTTTGAAATAGGGGATTGTGATACCTCCAGCTTTGTTCTGCTTTCTCAAGATTGCTTTATCTATTTAGTCTTTTGTGATTCCATACAAATTTTGGGATTATTTATTCTAGTTCTATGAAAAATACTATTGGTATTTTATAGGGATTGCATTGAATCTGTATTTTGCTTTGTGTAGTATGGGCACTTTAACAATATTAATTCTTCTAAGGAAGATATATTTTAATCCATATACTCCATTTTTGTTTTAGGGTGTGCTGTATGACCTAGACAAGGTGAGTTACCATTCTGTGTTGGAATGTTCCTGAAAAATAAAGCCTTGCATCCTTGAACAGAGGTCAATAATTTCCATTTAGTTTGAGTAAGATCCTAGAGAACTGATTACTTTTCTAATCCTAGAAAAATTCATGCTTTTGTCTAATGAGGATAATGAATATGTACTAGGGTCTGTAGACCCAATAATGTCCTTAAGGTCCCTTCCTTAAAAAATGCCACTTAGTTGTAGGCATTCTCAGTGTGTCAAGAAGTTTAGGAGTTTCCCAAGTGTTTAAGGCCCTTACCTGTGTTCTCTCTAAATATTGAAAACCATGTTCCATCAAGTTGAAAACATGTTTGTTTGGAAAACGCCTCATTATTTTATGCGCCACCAAAAATAGTGATTCCAGTTAGAGTCTGACACAGGTCTTTCTTTTCACTTAAAATCTGTATTTTATACTTAGTGACAAAACTCTTTTAGTCTGATTTTTTTTTATTAAAGTATCATTGATACACACTTTTGAAGGTTTCACAAGAAAAACAGTGTGGTTATTACACTCACCCTTATTATCGAGTTCCCCCCATATCCCATTGAAGTCACTATCCATCAGTATAGTAAGATGCCACAGAGCCCCTATTTGTCTTCTCTGAGGTACACTGTCTTCCCCGTGACCCCACACCCGCCACGTGCACCAGTCATGATACCCCACAGTCCCCTTCTCCCTCCCTCCCCACCCACCCTCTCCCACCCCTCCCCTTTGGTAACCACTAGTCCCTTCTTGGAGTCAGTGAGTCTGCTGCTGCTTTGTTCCTTCATTTTTGCTTCATTATACTCCACAAAAGAGGGAAATAATTTGGTATTTCTTTTAGTCTGATTTTAAATGTAAAATTTTTTAATTTATATGTGATGCTGCTCTCTTTCCATGCCTTTCTGTATATAGAATAACTTTAATGCTGAATCATAGTATAATCTTTTTGAAGACATTTTAAAGAGTAATTAAATGTAATGAATGTAATAACAATTCTTACAACTCATATGGAGAGATGACACATGAGTAACTATGATTGTCTGTGAGCACGCACAGGCAGTAACAATTGTAAAATACACCCCAGTTTTAAAGATATTAAAAATGTGGCTTTAAAGACATTTAATGTCTTTAAATCGAGGTGGGGGTGGGAGAGTTCAACTTAGAACTGATAAAATATGGCATTTGAAGGAATACAGTATACTCCGATTTAATACTGTCCTGACAGGTGTCCAGTGAATTCCGCTTGATCGGCCTCCTTGATGTCAGACACAAGGACTCTAATAACTGACTCAGTCTCCTTGGCGCAGTAGGAAGTGTGTCGGGCTCATGATAACTAACTCAAGTTCACCTCCCAGAATTTTTTTAAAACTTTCCAAATTGATTAACTAGAGGATCTCTAAAATAGCAACAAAAATAGGAGAAAGGGGAAATATTTATTATTTTCTGATTCTTTCAAGTATGAAATAATGAAGATATCCCCACAAGTCTAGATCAATTAAACTGTAAATGGCTGAACTTTTTCAAACTTCTTCTTTTAATTCCAGCAAATTAAAACGATTGAAAGATACATGAGACGCCTGGAGTTTCACATTAGTAAGGTAATCGGAGTTCCTGTTCTTTGCCTCTGTTTTTTGGCTCTTGGTTACTGATCAATGCACCTTTAGCCTAAGCACAGCATCTAGTCCATGGAGAATTTCTTATCTAATTAACTCCTAAGCCAGTTAGCAATTAAGTCCTTCAACAGGCAGCAAAGATGGAGAAAAAATGAGAATGAGAGTCTAATAATCTAGCATAGTTACGACTCCTCTCCGCTCAACAAGCACTAAGTCCTTCCTATGCAGCGTTCTCGGCACCTCGTGGAAGGCTTGCCGTCGCCGTGCGGTCTGGTTAGAGTTACGACTGAACTAAACTGACCCTACACAAACCTCCCACTTGCCTAACTTTACACTCTGGTTCCACATACCACTCGGTACCCCATGAACTTCTTCATGAAGGCCTTTAAAACAATTAGCAACAGCCCTCATGTGCCCCCCTAAGTCTCTCGCAAGCTGCTGCTTCCTCCTGTCTAGGTGCCGCTTCATCTTCCTCACCCCCTAGACGTGCACCGTTTTGTCAGGGTCTCTGATATCCAACCCTGAGCCCTATAAATAGTTCACTGAGGGTCCAACCAGCCACCTGTGGAATGGGACCATCCCTGTTCGGACGCCATTAGGAGCAGCTGACTCACACCAGTAGCGATTCCTGTTCCCGTCGTAGGCGTCAGCCTCTCTTCCGAGTGGGGAGGCCGAGGGTGGCGGATCTCCCTCCCAGGAGTGGGAAGCCTCAGGTTCTGTCCCAGCGCCGCCACATGCTCACTTAGCTCCATCATCCGGGTTACTCTCCTGTCTGTGAAACGGGGCTGGAGAGGTGCATGTGTTCAACCTAGGTGATCCTAAGAATCCTTTCATTTTAAAATTATGATGATTTATATGTGTATATTACTGCCTTTGTATGTTCTTACCCTGAAAGATACTTACTGCCTAAACAAATCTGAAATTGCTCCTATTTCTCATAAACTCAATAAATAAACAATGATTAGAAGTATTTATGTGGTGGGCAAGCTTTGACAAATTACTCTGTTTAATTTGGAAAACAGCAAGAAAATCAAATCAGTATTGGTTAGGAATGTATTCACCCATCTTGTATCCATCATTGCTAAATACAGCAATCCTAGTGGCTATTAAAGGTTGGTGGTACCTTATAGACAAGATGCCTAACATGTTATATTTAATTGAATGAGTCAGTTAATTGGATGAGAGCCACTGCTGACTTACTATGGTTACACAAATGCCTGCCTACAGATGGGCCCATTTCTGCTCAGGTAAGTACATAGTTATCCTTTATCTTAAAGTTTAATTCCATTTGTTGATATATAAAAGAAGCATATGATTCCATAAGTTGATATATAAAAGAAGCAAAGAATAAACTGTAAATAAAATAAACACTGTGGTTAGTGTACTGATTACTGAAAATAGTACAAGACTATAGAGATATACATAATGGGGAATAACTTCAGGTTTTCCCAACCTAGGCACTCTTGATATTTTGAGGCAATTGTAGGGGCTGTCCTCTGTGTCACATGGTATTTAGCAGCATCCCTGCCCTCTACCTACTGGATACCAGTAGGACCTCCAGCTGTGACACTGAAAAAGTCTCCAGTTTTGCCAAATGACCCCTGCATGTCAAAGTAGCCTTGGGTTGATTGAGAATCACTGCCTTGGAAGCACAGAGTGATTACCAGGCTTCTCTAATGAGTATGACTGGTAGTCACTTGCAGAAGGTATATTATTGTTTGCAGGCACACATGTAGATGTGTACCAGGGAAACCTTCATTTCCATTGCTTCTCTTTATTTTTTTAATTGTAGTATAATTTTCATACAAAGTTTCACAGTCATAGTTTAATAAGTTTTGACAATTGTGCTTCACCCTAATTTTAGGAGTAATTTAGTAACTTCACATTCTTTATTATTGAGGCTATTGAAAATAATTTTTGTAAAGTGTTGGCTCAAGTTCTTTTTTTAAAAAAATGCTAAATTTGGATATTGAACCTCACCTTGTGACAAATAAAGTAATAATAGCCTAGTATACTACAAAGTTTTCACCCTAGTGTGACACTATTTAAACCCTTTCATTGTTCATTCCTTGTATAGAAGTCTCCATTACCCAGTACTTGGCTCACACAGTCCACCAATGTTAAGTTCATTTTCATTTTGTGTCATTTGAAAGAAGGCTCAGAGTAAAATCTATTTTGAAAGAGAAAATGGACCATAGTGTCTAAAACAAAAATGACTGGTCTATGTCTAACAGGATTAGGCATTTATAAGATTCTCCTCCTTGAGGTCAGAAACAAAGTATCTTTAAGCACTTAACAATGGCTTACGTAACTTATTTCAAGTGTGATAAATACTTACATCTGTTGTGTTCTCTGTTTTGATTCTGGCAGGTAGATGAACTCTATGAAGCTTATTGTATCCAAAGACGCCTCCAAGATGGTGCCAGCAAAATGAAACAAGCCTTTGCAACGTCCCCTGCCAGCAAAGCTGCCCGAGAGAGCCTGTCAGAGATCAGTCGGAGCTACAAAGAGTACACAGAGGTATGTGGTGACCTGCTCAGCTGCTGAACTCCAGCTGGCACGTTGTTGGGAACCGCCAAGAACAAGAGAAATGACAACGGCAACCTGCAACCTCATTCTACTCTTTAGTGAGATGTTTTACTAAAATGCCTCTCTTGCATTTTTTTAGGCTGCCAGTGGCATTGTTTTAAGTGACTCTTGGGTAGTATTGTTGGTTGTACTTTTGCTTAGAGCCTTCATTTGACTCCAGAGCATATCCCTTTCTTAGACCCTGAGTATCACCTGCAGGGCACTCATGTCCTAGTCCTTGTAACATGCTTGTTCACAGACTTGTAAAACCACAAGATTTTAGAGGTTATGAAGCTATTCACTGACCAAGTCTTACACAATTCTTTATGAGCTCCGTATTGCGTTATCCAGCCTCTGCACGTGTAGACTACAAATGCTTGTCGAAAATGAATAAGCCACAGTACACTGGTTTTTGTCATTGAAATGCACTCCCCAGTTCTCTCAGAGCAGTGAATCCAGTCTAGCTTTATTCCTGGAACACACCTTGTAGTGAAGATGGTTATTTGCTCATTGGGTATCAGTAATCCTCCTGTCTGCAGTAATTGTATTGTAAGAAGTCTTCCTTCTATCTTAAAGGAGGCAAGATTAAAAACCATGAACAGAAGTGTGTTTTCCTGGTTGTCTGTCTCCAGGGCCCAGGCATATGACACAAGGAGATCCTCACTCCTGGGGTCACCTGATACCAGTGTCTTTGATGAAATCATTAATTATTGAAACAGCACATCTCACCAGCCCGGAGGTCAGATTTCATGCATGAAGTCGCCCTGATGAGGGTCTGTTGGACACTCCCAGAGCTGAGAGCGTCTGTCTCAGCCCTGGGATGGGGAGGGCCTCTCGGATTGCAGCAGGAGCGCTGTGTGTGTGTGCTCCAGCAGCCCCCCCTGTCTGAACCAGGTTAGTTACTTTTCATGGCCTGAAACAAGGGCTATGTTCCCCTTTCAAAAAAATGTTTCTTAAATGCATAAAATACATAGGAATTCAAAGGAAACAAATTACACTGAAATCATTATTTCAATATTATCAGGACAGTTATAAGAATATTTTAAAAATCAAAATATTGTATGATATAGTATTATGCTGCTGCTTTGCTAACACATCAAATTATGATAAGATCTAGCAGTGATTCCAGTTTGAAATTATGAAATTTCAAAGTAGTAAAAATGTAAATGATTCCTCAAAATATCAGCAACAAATTATGTGACATGAACATATACATGATTTCTGTCAGTGCCAAAGTCACAAGTACTAGTGATACTGCTGTGGCTTATTTTCCACATTCCTGATACAAGGACATGCGAAATTCCAGTTAACGCTTAGTGGAAAGAATAATGAGACTTTCTTTTTACCCCATCCAAGTTTATGAACCTGCAGTTTGAGGTCTCTGGCTGAGAGGCAGCCCTAGTTCATGAGACCTCACGTCTACATGCCTCTGAAATGAAAAGAGCTGTTGCCAGTTGTAGAGCTGTTCCTACACAAGCAGGTAACTGGCCAGCAGCCTGGAGGGACTGCCTGTCCTGGAACATTTGCAGGTTGTTTCAGAAATACTCACCTTTGGTTAAGTGCCAAGACATGGCCTCATAGTTTGCTCACAAATTCGAACACACAGAGGGTCACCTCAGCAAGAGGAAGGGCTTAGAGAAGAAAGAAGCCCAGGACTTGTGTCACTTCATGCCTCACTTGACATCGGGTGGTTTTCTATCTTCGCACAACCATAGTAGCCAGGATTTCATAACGAGAGAGCATTCAGGACAGGGTGGCTCCGGGTGCTTCTGCAGGTGCAGTAATATTATCAGTGGCTGCATAGGCGAGATGGAAGAAATTCTGACCATGGATGTTCTCAGCTGTTGAACTAGCTGCTCCCCGAGGCTTTTTTGGACAATGATAGCAGTCCTGATCTGCATGACAACATCAACGATATTTCTGGGAACTGTAATATGTCCCTTTACAGAGTCACTCAAAGGTACATAAAATGGGTTTATAATCCTGGGGCTTTGCTAGACTCTGTGAGGTACTGCAAGCACGCAAGGGGAAAGGTAATGCCATTCTCTTAGCATCTCATCAATGTGCCAGTTCAGGAGATTGATCTTTTGGAGCGGAACAAAGGAACAAATAAGAACCAGAAGCTCTAGCCTTACAAATCAACCCTGAAGTCCTCAGCAAGCAAAATTCCTCTGGAAGCAATCCCTCTCAGTGCCCACCGAGCTGCCCGTGCGTTAGAAGGAGCGGCCGCCTCTGAGCCCCCCTCCTTGATGGAAGGTGGCTACCTCAGGGAGAAGCCTGCAGATGCCTGCCTGGGGCTGGGCTGGGGGCTGCTGCGTAGAATAGCAGAGGAGGCACCCAAAGCTCTTGCTGGCCAAGCTGCAGAAGAGCCCCCCAGGGAATAACCCCCAGACATGACAGTGTTCCTTTTGAGTTCCAAGTCCCAGCACCCTGTTAAGGCCCTCAGATGCTGAGGAAGTAGGGGGAGGGTAGCGACATATCTGACCACATGCTTAGATAGTGTCCCTCTTTCTGCCTTTACTGTTTCCCTGAGGACTGGAGTGATGGGAAGACTCTTGTCAGACCCAGAAATCATTAGGGGGGCACTGTGGTGATTCAGCAGGACCTCTGCCTCACTCACTTTAGGTTGAATCGAGCTCCTGTGCTCTTTTTGCCCAAACTTTTATTAAGAAAAATTTCACATCTACAGAAAATTTAAAACTATTATAATGAAAACCATATACCTTTACCTAGATTCACCACTTGGTAACATAACTGTTGCCCTATCTGCTTTCCTTCTCTCAGCACACTCAAATTTTTTCTTTTTTTGCTAAGTCATTTGACAGTAAATGGTAGATGTCATGACATTTTGCCCCATAAATATTTTAGCATGGATCTTTAATGGTAACCTATATGATGTGTAGTCCCTTTATAACCAAAAACCATTGTCACAACTAAGAAAATTAACAGTCATCCTGGGTATTCTCAAATTTCCCCTATTTGGCCTAATGTCTTTTATATAACTGTTATAGTTTATTTACGTCTTTCAAATCAGGATGTAATTGAAGTTCACCCATCGTATGTGGTTGTTATGTCTTTAGTCTTTTTTATCTGGAACTGTTTTTCATGGCATTGCCTTTTTGTAGAGTCCAGGCCAGTTCTTAGAGAATATCTCACATTCCAGACTTGTCTGTTTATGACACAAAAATTTAGCTTGTTCTTCTGAGCTCTAAATTCCTGTACACTAGGAGGTTTGCATAGACTTAGGTCAAACATCTTGTCAAGAATGAGTCATGGGCAGTGCTGTGCGGCTCATCGCGAATGGATAAATGCCTCCAGCTCTTCAAGCACTGCTTGTCCGCAGCTGTTAGACCATCATGTGCTCTGAGCTGCTGTGTGAAAGAAATCTAGCTCTAATCCCAGCCTTCTGTATTTTCACAGAATATGTGCACCATTGAAGCAGAGCTGGAGAACCTGCTGGGGGAGTTCTCCGTCAGGATGAAAGGTACTCCTGTCCCTGTTCAGAGAGAGTAAGGCGCCATCCCTGCAGAGCTCCTTGAAGTTTGAGAACACACAGTATTATTTTTCTTGCAAAGATACTATGCTGCTCACTCTCAACCCTCCCCCCTTATATTAATTGATTGATGTTCCAGAACCTTCTCATCCAGTGACTTGCCTACACGCTTAAATATTTATTATAACAGAATCTCAAACATACACAAAAGTGAAAAGAATATTACAATGAACCCCCATGTCAGCTAGATTTAATAATTAGCAAAATTTTGCCACATTCACTTCATGTTCTCTTGTCTTTGTTCTTCCTTCGATGAAGCAACACCCAGAGATGTGAGCCTGCCCCTGTGTGCCTCGGTATGTGTCTCTTACACAAGGACAGCCTCCTGTGCAACGATGACACGTATTAACACATCTACTAAAACGAAAATGCCATCATTCCGTTATCAGATTTCCCTGGTTGTCTCAAAAATGCTTTGTACAATTGGTTAGTTCAAATCAGGATCCAAACAAGGTCCATGCATCATAATTGGTCATTAGGTATCTCTTTTAGGTTTCCCTTCATCTAAAACAGACCCCTCCCCATTGTTTTCCCTAGATTTGCCTTTGGCCTCTTCTTGGTGTCATTTCAGTTGTTTCTTTATGCTCCATATTTCCCGTAAACTATCTGTAAGATAAATTCTAGCCGAAATAAGCAGGCAAAGAGAGGCAATAAAGGGCCAGGTAATTTATTTAAATACCCCCGGTGAGGTTCTGTGGCCTTCTTGTCAGAGGCCAGAGAAGTCACGTCCGGTTAGGGAGGTGGGGCGCTTATAAGGGATTAGGAAGGGGGAGGGGTGGGCAAGCTATCTTAGGGGGCGTGGAGAGGTATGATTGGCTAAAGGTGACATAATAGTCAGCTAGAAACTTTTTTCCTTCCAAGAGGGAGGAGGCTGACATCCGGGTCCCAGTTGGCACATCAGGATGGAATTCAGGGAGAGCTGCCCCCTTTCCATATAAGGCACGGACTTTGGGGTCTGGTCTGTTCTCCCCCTGTGGCATCTCTCTGTTCTGTTTGCATGTCCTTGTTTTTCCTTTCTCCAGCCTAACACTATCTACCAATTTTTAAATTTAAAAAAATTTTTTAGTGTTAAACCCACAGAGGGCTATGCATTTCTACTCCAGAAAGTTCCAATCTAGAAGCATTATTGACAGATATCGCAGCATCTTCAGAACAAAAAGCAACTATCACCTCAGCTAATGGAGCGTCACCCAGGTGTCGGACGCCTCCGCAGCGGGGAAGGCCACCAAACCAGCCATCACGCCAGACCATCTTTCTTCTCATTTTTGACTCACTGGACTTCTGCGCTCTTAATTTCTTTGCCTAAAGGTTGATACATTGCTTGCTCTTTCTGAGGTTTCTTAGCCACTTGATCCCTGAGTTGCTAATGAGGATTTACTCCCCTTCCTGTCCCTTTTTGTGACTAAGGGAGTAGAGAAGGGGTACTTTTTCTTAAAGTGCTCAACAGGGGAGCCTCATGTTTGAATGAGTCACCTAACTCAGGAGGGAACTGTCCCTGTCAAGTACCAGACAGGCATGCAGAGCTGCTCTCAGTGCGAACACCTGGAATAACAATGGTCCTGACCCTCTGCTTCCCAGGTGGCTGCTGCTGGTCCTTGGCAGCTCTGGGAGTGAATCACTTTGCCATCAAGGTCACATCTCAGCGCCTGTCCTTGGCTGAGGCTGGGAGCCCATGTGCTTTTTTGGTGTTTTATTTTGGGTCCTCCCCTGAGGTAGTGGTTCCAGAACCGCTCAGGCCCTGCCCCTGTCCCAGCAAGTCACAGTGCCCCTGGAATATTTTTTCTTAGCTCTCAGGATAAATATACTGGAAAACAACTGTCTAGTCGGTGTTTAGGAGAAAACACGTCCTTTTCCCCACCAGCACCCAGGCACCCCCCTCGGGGCTAGCCCAGCCAGTGTCCGCCAGCTGGGAGAAACTCAGGTCACGCAGTTCCTCACGGTTAAGCCAAGGAGGGCCAGATGTCCGCCATTTCTGAAGCTCACTATTATCAAATGCCTCACGTTTTGGTGGGGTGATGATTTCCCATTTCATCCATGGGAAATGGAGGTTAAAAGACTTGTCCCAAAAGTCACACTGTTGGTTGGAGTCAAACTTGGAGCTCAGTTCCAGGGCTCTCGTCTCCTGGTACCTTCCACCTCTCGACTCTGCTGAGGGGGGCCGTCCTACGAGGGCTGAGCCGGTGCTGAGATCTGCTGCTCCGAGAATGGCCTCTTCTAGGGGAGCGCCTTCTTCAGTCTGGCACACAGGCACCCTGGCAGTGGGTGGGAAGAAAGGGCCTTCAGGCCTGATGGTCAGTGAGAGGATGTTGGGGACCCTGCCATCCACTGAGGGACCTGGGCCCCCTCTAAACAACAGCACCGAGTTATAACGGGTCATCGTGACAATGTGGCAAAACTTTCTGCTGCTCCTGTTCTTCGGTCTTTACCTCCGTCTGTCATTCTGTCTGTCCTGCCAGACCAGCCTCCTTAGGTTCCAGACTGAGTTTCTCCCAGGGTGTGTCTCAGGCCTGAACCCGATTCTCCCTTTTCTTTATAGATTTAAATCAGTTAAACTTTGCTAATCTAACATGAAAACTCAGAAACTCCGTCTATGAGGCCTTTTGAGTGTAACACTCCCATGGAAATCTTCCTCTCTTAAAGGAATCCCCTCATGCTGCCAAGAAATCTCACATCTTTGCAATCTTACCTGTTACTAATTCTGGTAAAAATAACCACCCACAAGATATTGGCATAAACAGGATATTTCATAATATTCTCAGACCTGGTAACTCACCTTCTTTCTGTCACACCCTTCTACCCTGTGTTCTGCCTCAACACAGAGTCAACAACCATTCTGTGGTTTGTTTCTTGGGGGTGGGGAGTGGTGATGATAAAGACACTTGATCAAGCACCTACTGAGTTCCTATTATTGACCAGGCACTAGGCTGCGTCCTGATGAATAGTCTTTGGCCTTGAGCTCCACATACTGGAGAAAAAAATGGAATATGAGCCAGTGAGCTCTAATTCAATGGAATGAATGACCTAACTAGTCAGTAAGGTGACAGATTGCTTCAGGAGCCTGGGGGAAGTGGGGAGATGAGTGATCTTGGGTGGGGCGGCAGGGGAGGGGACAGGAAGGAGGAAGGTCCCCAATGTAGCCTTTGTGTTAAGATGAGAGGGACTGTTCTGGGCAGATGAACAGCAAAGCAGTAGCCTTCACCAAAGAGGAAAAAGCATGTTTAAAAAAGGCAGGTAGGCTGGTGAGGACATTGGAAGTTCGGCTGGCACAGGATTTTAAAAAGCTTTGCATGCCAGGCTGGAGACAGCACTACCCCCATGATGGAGATTAAAAGATATGGTCTCACAGGGAAATCTAGTTCTTCTCCCAATTATTACTTTGGTCAAATTAAGTTCCGGGCAGAGTGTGTCTCCAGAAGTCTGTGCTGGTTCCTGCAGGTTCTAAGGCAGGGCAGGCCTCAAGAGGGAAGGACGACCAGTAGCTAGTCCATCTGCATTATTTACTCTTGGGCAATAAACCCGCAAGGCCTGTGAGGGGCTCCTGGCTCTTCAGAGCTGCTTGGCTGTTTTCTTGCAAGAAGCAGTGTGACTCTTCGTTAGCTTGACAATTTCTCCGTCCCGTGCTAAACTCGGTTAAAATTGTTAGGATATCCAACCAGCCTTTTCTCTGTGTATGTGGTGCCTGTCAACATTGCAATCCTTTCTGACTTTTCAAAGGAAGATCACAGAACCAAAACAAATGCAGAATGTTCTAGCTGAGTGGTCCTTGAGCAAAGGAAGAAAGGAGTGGGCAGCTGCACATCGTAGCATCTGAGCCTTCTAAACGAGGCTGTGGGAGAGCTGTTACATTGGTAGTATGTGTTTACAGTCCAACAGGCAAAAGGTACCGGAAGGCGTACCATGGAAATAAAAGCGGTCTGCCCCCACCGCCTCCCCGCGCCCTGGGAGCTAGCCCCCGTGATGGCTTTTGGAGTGGCCATAATGAAAGCTTTCTAGTCAGTGCAACAGTAATCACAAAACTGCTGAGAGAACATGAAGCTTTCCCCAGCTGTGAAAATCTGAGCAGGCAGGATTTTCTGAAAGAAACCTGGGCAGGTTTAAAAGCCATTAAGCTGCACCGGGAATTGCCCCGCTGTTAGTTTCAGTTCCGCAACCGGCACCAGCAGTGGTTTGCACAAGCAGGCAGGACTTCCAGAAGCAGAGTGACAGGACTGGCTCTGCCTAGCTATTGCCATTGGCTGCATTGTGGGCATAAGCAGGCTATCAGTGTGGTGCCACCATAAACCATTCCAAGAAATTTTGCTTTAATAATGTGGGCTGAGAAGCTCAAAAACCTCACTGCCAAGTACCCTTCTCCAATTTGGATAAGCTTATCAGGTATGAAATTTATGGTAGTTTTGAAAGGAAAACAAGGGATTTTCCCCTTTACTTGCCTTTATCCCCAAGACCAGGTCAGTTTGTCGTTGTTCTGTTTTCTAACCAGGCTTTGGTTGTAATTGCCCAGGTAAACAGAAACAGCTGATGCTGAAATAATTTGCAGACGTTCTTAAAGAAAACTTTGGATTTTCTTAGATTCAGCATGCCCAGCCATTTCTGGTTTATGAAAACCAGTCAATTTGGCTTTCTTTCAGAAACATTTTTTAAAAAGGACTAAATCCTCCAGAAAATTGTTAAGTGAAGCTGGCTTCTTCGAACACTGGTCCATAATGGGCTGAGAGTCGTGAGTGGCTGGTGGGTTGCTGCCATCTACTGACAGTTAGTGGTAATGGCAGGTGCCTTTTTAAACCTCCTTGGACTTGCATCGTTTTAACCCTGCTAATGTGCATGAGACCAAATGGAAGGCAAATTCATGACTTAACAGGGCCTATGCATAGAGGGCAAAATTGTGTGACACCATCCCCATTGTATTTTCATGGATAAAATTGTTTAATATAAAAACAGCTAGGAATTCAAAGGTCATAAATAGCACTTTAAAGAGGCTGAACACTATGGATGTCTTGTGTGTGAAGGAATCTAAGAATCCCAGGGCTGCTTTTGTACCAGCTAAGCAGAATCATTTCCTCTCAGGCACTTCTATGAGAAGAGGACTGTTCTTGTCTTCGAAAATCTGTTTTAAATTTTCAAACCGATACCTTCTCATTTTTTTTAATATTGGGAAATATACAGCAAAACTTTATACATAATCACCCCACCCAATGCTACACTTTAATAAGTTATCATGAATATACAACCAGCTTTTTTTCTGTGTGTATGCTGCCTGCCAACCAACATGTATTATCTTTGTTATGTCTTTTTTCTTACAAAAATAACATGATATTTGAAGAAAATCAAATAAAAATTACTACTTAATGTCAAACATATAACTTTCTCCATAATCCACCATACCAGAGATAATTCTTTTTAGCAGTTTAATATGCTCTCCTAGAATTTTTTTTCTGTAGATACATCTTTAGATAGTGGAGGTCATACTCCATGTAAGATTTTGTATCCTTCCTGTTTTAAACTTAATATTACATTATAAATATTATCTTTTATTAAAAGGTTATTCTAAACATTTGTACTGAATTCTTAACTGGAATTTTTCATCATAAAATTTTACTGGTTCTTTTCACCAGAAAATGAAAACTTGCTAAAGATTTTTGACCATTTTTATTAAATTTGCTTCCTTCCTTGATTAAAACTTTGTCTTTGGGTTCCTATTAGGGTAAAAGACTTTGTTTTGTGATTGGCATAGAAGCTGGAAACAAGTGATTAAAGTAAAACAGTTGGGATTGCTAGTAACCCTCTGATGACGAGCTTCATCCTGTACTTTTATAGGCTACCTATGACTACTGCCTTCCTTCCCACCCACTGTATTCATGCTTGACACACAGTAGGCATTCCAGAAATCTTGCTGAATGAATATGTGCGGGCTCTGCCTGAAACTACCTTTCACCCAGGCCCTCAATTTACTGTGGTGAAATTCTTTATTCAAATGTTACCTTCTTCCATGAAGCTATCCTGCATCATATGAGATAATTTCTTTGTTTTGTTTTAATTATATAAATAACGTGGTTTTAAAAAATATAGTGTATATGTGATATTATATTGGTTTCAGGTACAACATAGTGATTTGACAATTATATACATTACTAAATGTTTACCACAGTAAGTTAAGTTGCCATGTGTCATTTTACAATGATATATTCCCTATGCTGTACTTTCATCCCTGTGATTAATTTATTTTATAACTGTACCTGTTTATCCCTTTCCCCAATCGCCTATCTCCCCACCACTCCCCGTAAAGCAGCCATCAGTCTGTTCTCTGAAGTAACACATTCATATAAAAATTCAAAGCACAGGTAAAGCAGAGATGTCCTTTTCCTGTCTCTCCACTGCTGTTCCTCTCCCCCATGGGTGTCAGTTTGCTGTGTCTTTCCACATAGGTGACATCTTTTAAATGAACTGTGTATCACACGTGCTCAATGAGTAGTAGTATCTCACTCATGGATATATAATTACCACTTATTAAGCACCCTATTGTCCTTAAAAATAATTATATTAGGTAGACATTGTTATCCCTATTTTAAAGGTGAAAAAACTAAAGTAAATAAATTATCAGCTAGATAAGCTAACTGGTGGATAAAACAAATCAACTTCAGGTTTAACTCCATCTTACTGCCTACAGGTCCTTATTTGTTTCATTCCTGTGGGCTTTGACCATCGTCTTTTCTGTGTTATGAGTATCAGTAAAGTCTTTCTTAATTTCCAGATTGGACCTCAATGCATAGATCCTTGTGTGCATTGAGTTCGTAGCAAATATCTATAGAAAGAAAGAGAAATAGTGATCAGGCTTAGGGCTCCTGAGATGCTGCATGATACGCCATTAGCCTGACAAAATTTGTTCTGGCTGCCACACCGGAAGTGGCACTGGCTTTCCAACTGAACAGATTGAGTAGAAATGACACGAGAGAAGAGAAGCCGCGTCTTCATTTTGGGAGTACGGGTTGCTGTTATTTGGTTGGTTGGATTCTTTTTTTTTTTAATCGCTAGTTTTGTGTAGATGATAATTCCCCCTAAGTCATTTCATAACACAGTGGGTGGTAGTGTCATTATGCAGGATGGATAGGGTAAGGGAAATACTGGAGGGGGTGAACTGCAGCGACGCAAGGGGAAGAAGTACGTGGAACTGTAACCCAAATGGGAGGCACTATCAGAAATCACAAATCTTGGGATATGAAGAAAAACAAGAGCTGTTTATTTTCGTGGAAAGAAGTTGGGTAAATAAATGAATGTATCTTTCTGGCTCTCATTCCCCGATCCTGGACGCTGGTTGGATGTTAAGTCAGCCAAAGTTACACTGAGCTCTGGCCCCCACTGAATAGTGTTCCTTGCCCAGAAACCACCTCTTTCCTTACCCCTGCAAGGAATGCCCTCTCCAGCTGTGACAGACGGAGTTCCCCACAATAGCTGCAACCACAGATGGTCCTCCAAAACGATTCGTGGGTTTTCATTAAGGTCTGACTTTTGGAATTTTACGAATGTGCCAGTGTGGGTTCGTGAAGGGGGAACATGTTCCAGGCCTCATGCCCCATCTGCTTGCTTGCAGGTCTGGCTGGCTTTGCTCGCCTCTGTCCTGGAGACCAATATGAGGTAAGTATTATGTCGGACTGGGTGTGGAAATTGAGGGCTTGGTGGGTAGGTGTCAGCTGAACCATTTTAGATTAATACACAGACATCATGGCCCTTCACTCCTGAATTATTTTCCTGAAAATGTAAGGACATTCTCTCATACAAGCATTGTACAATTCTCGACCAGCAAGCTTAACATTGGCATGGTAGCTAATGTCATTTGATATATGATCTACATCCAGTATTTCCAAGTGTCCCAGTATTGTAATTGACAAGTTTTCTTTTCCTGATCCAAGATCCAATGCAGGATCATGGCTTATCTGTATCATGATTGAAGAATAACAGTCTCTAAATTTTTCTTTATAAAATCATGCTCCATAAAGTAAACGGCGTTTTATTATCTTTTCCCCTTGCAACAAAAACGGAACTTACATAATTATTTCATCTAACACTCTCCTCCAAGACCCTCTATAATCATTCTTCTTGGGGTGGGGGGAACATCTTCCCCTAACCAGTAAAGCCATCTGCCCAAGGAGAGACCACACACCCTCTCCTCAGAAGATCGGTCAGAGTTTGAAATCCTGTCCAGCCTCTGTCTCCCTCATCCAGAAAGAGGATGTCTTATTTCTGGCTTCTGGCTGTGAAGAAGATTTGAGCTGATGGCTTATCTCTCTAAAGGAATGGGGGGGAGTGGGGGTGGATATGGAGAATTAACGTAGAATAACAAGAGAAAGAACTGGTCGACCTGCGTGAGCCAGAGGGCATGGTGTGATGACGTCCTGCTGAAGGAAGCTCTACACACCCTCTGGTCAGAGAAGCGGAACTTACCCCTTTCAGACGTCCCTTCCTCACCTGTCATCTGTGTCACCCCACCCCCCACCCCCAGCCCAGGGACTGGAGGAAACCACCGTGAGGGCTGGAGCGGGGGCGGGGAGGGGCGGGGGAATGGTGGCTGCTTTATTTACCTGGGAATTTGCATAGGGAAGGCAGGGGAGGACAGGTGTACACAACGGCCGTTTGCTGTCTTCTCCCCAGATTTTCATGAAGTATGGTCGGCAGAGGTGGAAACTGAAAGGCAAAATAGAAGTGAATGGCAAGCAGAGTTGGGATGGAGAGGAGGTGGTGTTCCTGCCCCTGATAGTCGGATTGATCTCCATCAAGGTACAGTGCGGCCGCTGCTGTTGGCTGTCTTCCCAGCGCCGTGGCCTCTGCCCATCGCCTCTGCCCGCTGTCCCTCCCTCCCTCAGACTTCTCTCTGCACTACAAGTGCATGGTGAAGACAGCTGCGCTCGTATCAGAGTGGACAAGGAAATGTAAGACGAGCTCTGGAAGTACCCAGCTCCCACTTCAGACACCACTCCGGAATGACTCAACCGGCCGAGAGCCACCGCCGCCTACCTCACTCCTGTGCTGTCTCATAAGACCCTCCGCCTCCCTCTCTCACTAGGTCACGGAACTCAAAGGTCTAGCAACGCACCTCCTGGTCGGCAGTGTGACCTGCGAGACCAAAGAGCTGTTTGCAGCTCGACCTCAGGTGGTAGCTGTTGACATCAATGACCTCGGCACCATCAAACTGAGCCTGGAAATTACCTGGTAGTAAGTTGGCCTTTTCAATTTCATTATGTTAGGAATACGTGATACAGACTAGCGCTGCTCCAAGGCCTGTGCGTGGACCATCAGAAGCGCCAGGGGGCTTGTCACGCAAGCAGACTCTAGGCTCGAGCCCAGACTTACTGGGCCAGAATTTCTCAGGGCCCAAGAATCGGCTTACCCGGCTCCCCAGGCAGCGGTCGTACATGCTGAAGCTGGAGGAGCCCCTGTCTTGCCCCTGCTGCCCTCTTCTACCTCCTGCTTTAAAATATGCCTCCTTCTCTGCTGAACCTTTACATATTTGTAAAGTAATACATCTCTCTCTTAAACTGATTGGAAAGAAAACTGTCCAATATGAGATAGTTTGCCCTCAGAAAGATCCTAACTCTTGCTGTGGTGTTTTAATTGGTTATCCCTCGCCTCTTATGCTGATCTGGAAATTTTTGAATATCCGTAGTCCCTCCACACTCTATTTACTGAAATAGAATATTTCCAAAGGGCAGGAGATAACTTTTGTCTAAGCAGTGAACTTGAAAGTGGTTTTCCGAAGTCACCCCGTGAGAAAGGTCATAAGTTATTAAACACTGGTTGCTCACAACTTTTGATATTATGCTCCTGGAATATCACCAACAAAATATGACGTGTTTGAGCATCAAAATTCAGGGTCCCCTCTACAAATAGAGGATCAGACATGGAAGCAGCGAAGACCTTGTAGCCTTGTCATCGAAACAGTGTCAGCACCTTTTTTGCCTAGCTCTTCCCTCCTAGTTGGAGTCACTTACGTCCCAAATGCAAGAGCACCCATTCCTCCTGCGGGGCGACCCACTGGCACGCTGATGAGAGCGTCCCCGTGAACAGACAGCTCTTCTCTCCTTAGTTACCAATGAGGCTCTGAGCCTTAGAACGAATGAGGTTTTACTTTTGTTTTCTTCAGAACTGAAACAATCATCTATTACTCTCGTGTATTGTTAAAGTGTCTAGCCCTGCAATGCTGAAAGAACTTTCAGACTTCTTCAACATCTGATGTTAGGACAAGCATTAAAATGTTTGTATTTCTAATACTAATGACAAAACAGATTAATCTAGTATCTAAGTATGCAGATAAATCGTGCTGGAGGCTGTGATGATAATCTGTGGCCCCTTGGGTGGGTCTAGACTCAGGTTTCTGCTCTGCTTTCTTTTATCTTGCTTTATTTTCTGACAAACAAGTTTGGCTCAACCCAGCCCAGTCCCCATTGGTTGCATTTACTTGGTATAATAAGGCACTTTCTTGACCTGTGGCCGAGTGATTGTAGGTGATTTTAACCCAGGTCCATTCATGGGGCCCTGTTGTTCTGCAGTCCGTTTGACGTGGAGGACATGGCACCGTCTTCAGGCGCAGGGAGCAAGGCAGCAGCGCTCCAGAGAAGAATGTCCCTGTACAGCCAGGGCACCCCGGAAACGCCCACCTTTAGAGATCACGCCTTCTTTGTAAGTCCTGCGGGATTTCTGGAGGGGAGAGGATGAGCCTCAGGCACTGCTTGCACCCACTGTTTGAAATGCTTAACATCCCGCCTGCCGTAGGGATTCTCAGCCTTCCTGATGGTGGTATCGCTAGAGTTCACCTGGCCAGAGGGACTGAGGAAAGCGCTTTCCAAGATGCCTCTGGCCATCTGCACATAGTTGATGAACCTTCTCTGTCTTCCTCTCCCCTCACCCCGCATGCCAAGTGCTTTGATAATAACATGCAACTAAGATTAGCCTTTTACAGAAGTAGATGTAAAAATGACCTCCTTGCTAATCAGAAACACTCACCAAAAAGCTCACAAAACATGGTGACCTGATGCTTTCCACTAACTCCCCATCTTGCTTTGACTTCTGAAGAGATGGTTGCATCCTTCTCCAGACAAGCTAAGGTCTGTCTTGAGCGCCTTGCAAGGTACTTTCTTTGCCAAGCTGCCCCGCAGCCGCTCTTTCAGTGACCTGCCCTCCCTCAGCCTGAGACGCAAGGCCCAGCTAGAGTTTTCTGTGAGTGTGGGTGGCCTGCCTGAGTCTGAAGTGCTTGCCTTTCTGGGGCTTGGGGCGGGTTTGCTTTGGCATGTCTCTTGTTTTCTCTTCTTCCCTGTCTGGCCCAGTGGTTAACAGTCACAGGTCCCCTGTCCCTGGGGTGGGAAAGTCTGTCATGCATGCACCTTTATTCGTGAGGTGGTTTGTCCTTCCTTCTAATCATCCCTGTTTTTGTGCTGTGATTTTTCTCCACTGTGGCAAAGCTATCCATGGTAACAAGATTTTCATTAAAAAAAAAAAACAGTTACACTCAAGGTCAAAGAAGATTTTAGTTTAGAAGTTAAGCTAGTTTATCACTGATACTCATCTTTACACACAGTTCTAGCATTCAAAACCTGGCATTTGAGGAAATCAGGAATAAAACCAATTTTACTAGAGCTATTTTTATTTAAAGAGGTTCTTAGCCTTAGTTTACTGTGGTTTTTGTCAGTTTTATACTTATACCTTAGTAAAAAACACTCTGTAATTTACATTCAGGATTGCAATAGGTGGCTTACATTGTATGTGTTAACACTTTATGTCACAAAACACACATGTACATTTATAAACACATATATGGAGTATCCTGCTCTTTACGGACCTAAAAATAATCTTTTAATGTCCAGGGAGGAAGGGATTAAAAGTTTTCTGGTTAATAATACTAATAATTGCATCTTATTCATTGAATTATAAAACACAGGTGAAAAGGACTCGGCTAAACTCGAGTGGAGTTTCCCAGGAAAATGGGAAGACTGTACGGGGGAAAACACGCAGCGTGAAAGTGTGTGCCGACGCACCATATTGCTGATAGTTATTTCCATAACTATTGATGTAATGTAGATATTTATGCCCACATATTGTAGGTTGGAGGGGTGGGGAGGAAGTCGGTAAAGGTTTAATAGCATAATTTAAACATGAGCAAGATAAGAAACAACTTGATGGCTTCCTGTAGCCTTTTGGATGAACAAAGTCCTCTTCACAGCTGCTCCCACTTGGCCACAGCCCCGTCGCCCGGGCCCACCGCCCATCTGTCCATTCTCCAGCCCCCTGAACTCCCCGCTGTTTTCCAACTGCACCACCCCTTTCAGGAGGTCCTGTCTTTTCACACACTCTGTTCCTTCTCGAGTGCACGTCTTCCGCTTCCTGTCCCGTGCCTCCCAACCTCTAGGGCTGAGTTCCAGGACCATCTCCACTCGGGCAGCAGCCATCCCCTCTCTGGGGCTGTGTCGTCATATGAGTCTGCGGTTCTGACCCGCATTCCCTTGCACTGCTGTGTGCCTGTGTATCGGCTCATCCCCTTGCTAGACTGTAAGTCCCCTTGAGCAGAGCATCTCCACTTATTCTAAGTCAATCTTTGCCACTTCAGTAGATGCAAATTACAACTGAGAATGTGAGACCCCGGGGAAGTGGCAGGGGAGGACTTTGGGATTGGAATGGGAATCCCAACCACCCGGCTCCCTGCCGTGGCCAGTGCCTCCCACCTCCCTCAGAACCGCCAGGAAAGGTGTGCTCTGATGAGCTGAGGTGGGGCAGGACCTCCTGGGGGACCCAAGGGCTCTGGGAGATGCCTAAGGGACCCCCAAGGAGAACGTGCATGGAGGAAGACTCCAGGCCTCCCCCCTTCCTCCCCGGCAGCTCCCCCTGTATCTCTCCTAAAGGCATAAAATGTACTTGGGGGCAGGGGACTTAAATAGAGGAGGGGGAAATGGAGGTAAGTAGGCTGGAAGTGGAGAAGAGGAGCCCAGAACCCCCTCTCCTTTGCAGATCCTGAAGGGGGTTCCCTGGAACTCCTTCCACCCCTTCCCCGACCCCCCAAGCCACAGGAGCACGATCCAGTAATCACAAGAAGAGGGGAGCATTCTCAGTTTTTAGGGGGCAGAAAGTGAGGCTACAGAGTTAGTTGGGTACCCCAGTGATACATTTATTCAAGGGGTCACCTTCCATCAGACAAGAGTAGGGAGTTTGGGTTGAACTAACTGTCAGAATCTAGTGGCCCCAGTCCAGCCATGATGGGACCAGGGACTGTTGGTGGGGGCGGGGGGACAGGGAGCTTTTGTCTCTCTCTGTTCCCCATTTCACTCAGACAACATTTTTGTTTCATGGACTTAGTCCCAGCACTCTTGTGTTAATTCATTGCCTTATATGTCATTGAAATAGGTGTTCGTGTGGTACTTATGATTTACTTAAAAAATCAAATCTAGACTCCAAGAGAAATTACCTGTTTTGAAGGAGTTGATCTTAAAAAACTAGAAAACTTCCCACAGAGCAGCATTTGACACTTAGACACCATATGCAGAGCGCAGTGTAAGGAAAGATGACTTGGAAATTGTTTTAATTTAACAGATTATCTTGGTTACCTGGATATTTCTAACCTTTCCCTTCCTAGTTCTACTCCAGGAATCACAGTGCACCTGACCCAGCCTGGGTCCACTTGACAGGAGACTCAGTGCTTCTAGACACCCTGAGAACTCCAGGAATTTGTAATCCTGGAAGACAGATGTTCAGTTTATTAGGCTTTTTCTTCAATTTTTATAGAAGCTATGCAAGTGTACTTCTAGCCTTTAATTATTTGTGGCATGGTTACTAAATTTATAAGACATTTCCAAGGACCTGGGATTTGTGGATAGAGATTTTTAAAAAATTATTTATGAGAACTGAAGCAGAACAAAGTATCACATCTTTTGTGTGAAATAGCATGAATGTTGGAAAGTCTTCTAAGATAAATGCAAAAAACAAAAATTAGGTAGTATTACTCACACCTCTGGCTGTCAGATATTGTGAGACCCTGGGATTTAGGAAACAAGCGCCATCTCCCCCACCCCCAACCTTTTCTTTTGAGAAATGTCACACTTAAAAATAGTACAATGAACTTTCACCTAGATTCAACACTGGAAATAGAGTTTTAAGGGTTTGTTTTCTTTTGACACACACACACACACACACACACACACACACACAAAATCAACAAAAAGAATGTTAATAACATGAAAGGTCTGGTTTTTAATTGTCTTCCATTTTGTCTGAAATAAACCATGTCAAATGCATCGCTTACGTTTAACATAATAATGAAATGCCTCTTATCCACAGTCTAATCTACCTGATGACATCTTTGGAAACGGAAAGGCAGGCGAGGAGAAAGCACCGCTCTCTCTCAGCTTCAGTGACCTGCACGGAGGGGACCGCATCCTCGCCCCCGACCCAGCAGGCTCTCTTTCCAGCACATGCTCAGCAAATCCAGAAATTACCATCACCCCGGCAGAGCTGAACCACAGCAGCCTGTCCTCCCAAAACGAGGGCATGGGTGACGCCAGGCCAGCATCTTCCAGAAACTCCTCGGGAGGCGGCCAGGAGCCAAAGCCACACGTGGAGGAAGACGCAGAGGAGCCTGGGGAACCCGAGGCATGCCAGGGGTCTGCTGGTGGCGAGCACCCGTTCCTTGCGAAGGGTGTCGCAGAGGCGCTCCTGCAAGAGTCCGATGAGGCTTCTGAACTCAAGCCTGTGGAACTGGATGCTTTTGGAGGAAACGTCACGAAGCAGCTGGTGAAGAGGCTCACCTCAGCAGAAGCGCCGGCCACCACGGAGAGGCTGTTCTTTGAGGGCTCTGTCCGCAGAGACTCCCAAGGCTGTAGGTCCTTTCTAGACGGAAGCTTAGAGGATGCCTTTAATGGGCTTTTCCTTGCATTAGAACCACATAAAGAGCAGTATAAAGAGTTTCAGGATCTGAACCAAGAAGTCATGCATTTGGATGATATTCTAAAAGTAAGTACTTCTTCAGGAAAATTGAATTCGGTTTGGAGAGAGGTGTGTTAAACCAACATTCTGTTTAAAATAGCATTGTCTTATTTAAAGATCCTGTTCCATCACAAAACCAAGAAAAAAATCGTTATTTAAATGGCATTAATTTTTAACACGAATAGTGCATATGAATTTTTATTTTCCTGACATCAGGTCACTTAACTAAAATGATTAGGAGTTAAAATAACAGCTCTAAAGAATGTCCAAACTCCTTCAGTTCCAGAGTTAGTCCAATTCCAAATGTGAAATGGTGGCATTTTGATCATAATCTCATTGAGACGTTACTGAATACCTCTTGGAGTCAAAAAAAACAGGAAAGCCCTTCGCCAATTGAAGTCAGAGTTAGGCAGCTGCAGTGTGAGAGCCGTGGGCATCCCTTCCCCCTCCGGCACTGCCTTCTGGAGGAATCCTTCTGCTGAACGTGGCCCAAATCTATGAGTCAGAATCTTAAATTAATCATCCGTGAATAATCACCTATCATACTCTAGAAGCTAGGGAACCCCCAACTCCACCAGAGTTTATCTTCTTTAGTCCTGTTCCAGGTCAGACAGCTCAGGGCTGACACAGGAGAGTAGGAATAAAAAGGATATTTCCTCTCGGGCTGAAGGACCTAATAAGGAAATGATTATTGCCATGCTAGAATGTATCTGTCTCCATTTGGCATACAGATTAAATTTTTAAAAACACCGCACCAGAGGTCAGAACTTGAATTTCTTTCCCAAATCCCACTGCCATTTCTTGCATTCTTTGCTTTGCCACTCGGATTCATATCGCCATATTGAAGAGAAGTTGAATACTTTTTCTTGAAAGAGCAATTCTGTTCATGTAAAATAGGCTGGAAAGTAAAGTGCCAGTGGCAACCCACAGAAGGCTGCTGTATCCCTTTGCTTGCTTTAAAACATGGCCTTCCCAGTGGCTTGAAGAACTACATTTCCAAGGCTTTTCTGACCATCCGATCCCTCTCGGTCATGCCCACCTAGCTCTGGAAGGGATCATCGGCCCTGGGCAGATAATAATTCATGCCCTACGTCTCCAGCCTCTCTAATGCCCCTGACAGACTAATTCAGCTCGAGGCAGAGCCTCTGAGAATCAGGGAAGGGTGCTCTGAATCTGCTTTCTGTAAAACAGCTCAAAAGTATGAGCTCAGGGCTCATGTATAGCGGCTGCTTGTCTAGTAATCCAATGAGACCATCTTTTATCCTCTCGACATGATTTTGTCTGCATAATTGACAAGCTTTGTTTGTGGACAACAGGTGTTAAATTTAGAGAGCTAAGACACAAGTCACCCCTCCTAAAATATGCAAATGCCTTGAAGAAAGCCAGTAGTGATGGTAGCTCCCATGTCCAGGCATCTAGGGCGTTGATAAGTAGCTCATTCCACTAAGAAACAGTGATCAAGTCATTGTCACTTAGTCTTACAAAAATCTGGTGGTCACAGATTTCTTTCCAGAGTGTTATTTCAATCTGCTGTTGTTCCAAAATTATTCTCTAAAATTCTTAACTGCTCCTCTTTTGTTATGATCAATATACTTAAACATATCCAAATTGTGCCGACTGCTAGTCTAGGAAGTTCTGCCTATTGCTAGTCTAGGAAAGAAGACCTCTAGAAGTGGGTTGAGTCTAGACTGGTTCTTTCTCTCCCTCTGAGACTGAAAATAGTACTAGAATTTAGGTCTGGGGCAAGTGGCTTTGTATCCAGCCAGAAATAAAGCATCAGCTGGACAAAGGTTTCTCTTTTTTTCCCCCCTTCACATTCTTAGGATGCTAAACATCTTGAGGATCAGAAACTAAATGATGCCGCCTCTTGGACGGAGATCACTGAGGGCGAATGAAACAACTCTGATTTAAAAGACCGAATGTGCTTTCTGTGCCATCTTGAGTGTCAGAGGCAGATTCCTGCAGGGCCCTTCCTGCCTTGCGTTAAGAAGTCAGCAAAGTGCGCCACCTAACTGGACGGAGGACATTTAGTTCTTCTTGACTGCAGGACTTGTCCTGTCCGGTCCACCCCAGCATCCTCTTGACTATTTGGAAGTACTTCTCTCCATCTCTGTGCCCTTAGCAACTGACATCATTCTGTTTGTTGTGTTTCTGTTTATGTCCAGCAATATAAACTTCTCCAGACTATAGAATGGGTTTGCTCACATAATTCCAGGGCCAGGCCAGGGAACAAGTAGAACTCGGTCCTTCAAGGACAGAGCTGTGGAGGAAGCAGGGCTGTTTGCTGTTGTGCCCATACCATTCATTTTCCCCTTGATGCACAAAGAAAAACTATATGCTGTGAATGTAAAATTAACATTTAAGTCTACTTGCCTAGGGAGTGGAGGTTAGGTGAATTTGAGTAGTTTTCTGTTTCTGGGGTTTGTTTTGTTAATCATTTAGAACAGGTGCCCTGATAGCTAGTTACTGTCTCAGGACACTGAAGACGTTGCCACTTGAGGTTAAAGATGTGTTAGTATTTGGCACAGATTCAGCGATTCTTTAGATTGTCTGCTCATTGTAGTTTTATTGGGGATTGAACACCAGGCAGAGGAGAATAGCAGTTCTGTTTCCAAATCTTTCTAGTTGTAATTTTTTTTTAAGTTTTTATGGGAAAAATTCAAAACTGAAGTAGAGACAATCATAGAATGGATCCCAGTGTGCCCATCCCACAGATTCTATAGTGCTCACCTCCTGGCCAGTCTTATCTGTTCTTCTACCTGCTTACTTCCTTCTGGATTATTTTGGAACAAGTCCCAGTCATTTTATCCATGGTTGTATTTTTTTTACTATAAATATTTTCAATGCATTTTTTAAATGCCAACAAAAATAATAATAAAAGCTTTTTGACAAAAAAGAAAATGTCTCATCTCAAATCGGGTGCCATACCTTGTCTTTCTCCTTCTGAATATGTTGACGTTCTCCTTGGTCATTCTTTCTTTGCAGTGCAAGCCAGCAGCAAGCCGCAGCAGGTCTTCCAGTTTCAGTCTGACAGTTGAGAGTGCTTTAGAAAGCTTCGATTTCCTGAACACCTCTGATTTTGACGAGGAGGAGGATGGTGATGATGTTTGTAATGTTGGAGGAGGTGCTGACTCAGTATTTTCAGACACTGAGACTGAGAAAAACAGGTAAGTCTGAGGCCTGGAGTGTCTGCTTCTAGATGGTATAGTAGCTCTCTGTCACCACCAGACAGGACCTGCTGCATATGTCCACAAAAGATAAAACTCCCTGTGGAATTGGCTTACAGTTCCTTTTTACTGTTGAGGCCAATTTTTAAATACTGTTCACATCTTTTGTGTTAAGGGAAAATAAATTGCTTTCCTTCCTTATAAATGAAGGGGGATTTTTGTATGCATGTGTGTGTGTGTGTATGTGCCTTTATGTGTGTACACATACTTCTTATAGGGCTCAGTGTCTGCAACTTGACTCCAATGTAATTAATACCAAATTAACTAACTGTACGGTGTTTCCTGAGAGCTCCTACTAGACGGTCAGTTTGGACCTGGTTTTCCTTGGTTTGTGTCTTACCTCTAATCTCTTCATTTTGTTGCATTTGCTCTCACATTCCCTTTAGTCCAGATGAAGCTCATCAATGCCCATATCTAAACCAGTTTAAGCCCTGGAACACATACTTCCCTTAGAACGTAAGGAGGGATGCCTGGTAACTGCTGACTGTCACTGCCCTCTGCAGAGAGCATGTGGCCTCCTCTAGGGCATGGACAAGCCAGGGCAGTGGGAAGGGGGATGAAGAGGAAATACTGTCACCTTCCCCATCAGGCTTTCTTGTATAGCCAAACCATGTATTCAGAGCTAGAGCCTGGGGCCCATTTTGTAACTTCAGTTGAAGCAAAACAAGGACAGTGAAACATACTTCCATCAATTGCTCCAAAAAAAAATACACACTTTACCCCCAAAAAAGGTGATTTCCACCCATCTTTACTTATGACATGTTATATAAACAGGTTCTCAAATTACAACAAGCTATGGCTGTTCAACCTTCACAAACCTCTGTGGGTGCTGTTAATATTTTGGGGGTTTGTTATTACAAAATAAAACCAGGAAAAGAACAAATGAGATAAAGAATTTTATCCCTTGAGCAAACCGGGGACATAGAAAACTCCTTAATTGAATGTAATGTTCAAGTTATGCTTCTACATCCTACACTGAGATTTTCCTAACTTAATTGATTTTTCAGATGTTTTTAATTAAAGTATCATTGATATACAATCTTATGGAGGTTTCACATGAACGACACTGTGGTTTCAACATTCACCCATATTATCAAGTCTCCCCCTCTGCCCCCCACCACTGCAGTCACTGTCTATCAGCGTAGTAAGATGCTATAGAGTCATTCATTACTTATCAGATGTTTCTTAAACTGAAAACCTTTCTTTGTACTTATTATCTTAAGCTGTTACATGATATATCAAGGTCAGGCATCAATCTAACTCCTTTTCTTTATGCTATACAAAGCATTTTATACAACCAAACCCTCATAAGTTTTGTATGTCTAATTTGGTCTATCTTACTGTATGTCACCAGAGGCCCTAAGGAAAATTGTGAAAAGTGTGCATGTGCTTTAAATCTGTGTTGACTGTCAGAACACAAGCGGAGTGTTTTCTCCCTGGAGTCAAATGTGAATCAGAGTAAAGCATTCACACCTTTAAGCTCTGGTACATCTTTTTAAATTGTGGAGGCCAGGGAGAGGGAGACCGGAAGCCACAGCTGCCCTGTCACTGCCTAGCTGTGCGAACCAGGACACTGGTTACCATCTCTGCCACTCGGTCCTGCCATGTGTGAAATGAGACAACTATTCCCACCCTCCCACACAGATTACTTTAAGAATAAAATAACATAGATGCAACAGATTCATTTTTATTTCTTTGTGTTGTCTGATTGCCGTGGCTAGGACCTCCAGAACTATGTTGAATAAAAGTAGGGAGAGTGGGCATCCCTGTCTTGTTCCGGATCTTAGAGGAAAAGCTTTCAGCTTCTCACTGTTAAGTATGATGTTGGCTGTGGGTTCGTCATATATGGCCATTATTATTTTGAAGTACTTGTCCTCTGTACCCATTTTATTGAGTTTTTATCATGAATGGGTATTGAATTTTGTCAAATGCTTTTTCAGCATGTATGGAGATGATCATGTGATTTTTGTCCTTTTTATTGATATACTGGATGATGTTGATGGATTTTGGAATGTTGTACCATCCTTGCATCCCTGGGATGAATCCCACTTGATCATGATGTATGATCATCTTGATGTGTTTTTGAATTAATTTGGTTTGCTAATAAGAAATAGCTAATGTTTTGCTCACCTTCCTGCTTCAGCAGTTACCAGTCAGCACACCCAGAAGCCAGGGGGCATCTTAGCGAAGCACTGACTGAAGACACAGGAGTCGGGACTAGCGTGGCAGGAAGTCCTCTCCCACTGACCACAGGGAACGAAAGCCTGGACATCACCATTGTTAGGCACCTTCACTGCTGCACCCAGCTCGTGCAGGTAGGCCAATGGGTTTCAGCCCCAGACAAGTTCACTGTGGATTCAGTGAGACCAAAGAAATGACAGTAGAACGTTCTTGGGGTGAAAGGGTGATACCCAACTTTATTTCCACGGTGGCAGGTCAATCACTAAAATGCGTTCCACTCAGAGCGAGTCTGCGTGCAGCAGTCTGGTCTCTGCCTCTGGGCCCCTCTGCCTGCACAGCCGTCCTCTGGGCCTCTGTCCTCGGCGCTGCCACCACTCCAGCCTCTGCTCTGCTCTCCTGCAGCCTTGCAGCCCTGCCACCGTGTCGTGCCCAGAGCACCGGGTGGGGCTCTTTATATAGAGTCAGTAGCCATGTATGGCCCACAGGTGTGCAGTGAGCTAGTCAACCAGGGCCAGGTGAGAATCCTGCCACAGGAACTCTCATTTTATCCACAAACAGGAAAGAATATTTTTATGACCCATTATCATTACAAGTTAGCTCTCACTCTGGGACACCAGGGAGCTTTCTTTTTGTCTTATTTCAGGCTGTTTACTACCTAAGACTTCACAACAGTGAAGCAAATGTTTTGAAATCCTTGTGGCGCAGGAAGTGCTCCAGCTGTCTGGAATAAGCGCCCTCCCCCAAGCCCTGCTTGCTGACGTGCCTCCTCCTGGTCTGGTTGCTCATCTGCCAGTCTTGTTCTCCCGGCTGGCTGTGGCTGTGTGGGTAACAGGAAAATAACATGAAGGCAAATGTACGATGGTTTTGGGGGGATGCACCAGGCAGGAGGATGCAGAAGGAGCTGAGCTCCTTAGAGCAGGAGACCAACTGGAAGGGCCCCAGGAGCTACGTCTTCAAGATGAACGGGCCCTGAAGGAGCCTCAGGCACCTGCTGTGGTGGGAATCGTTGGCAGCTTGCCAGTAGGTTGGCCAACACCCCAACTGATCTCTTCTGCTGGCTGTTGAATTTAGAAGCCAGTACTGACAACCAGTCTGACAGAAGGTGTGATTTTCTTTTTTTCTGTGCAAAATGGGCAATGATTACTGTTTACTTACAGCTATTCTCTATTCACTAACCATTTGAATGAGATGATTTTCACAGCTCTGTCTTGCTGAGCCTAATACAGTGCTGAGCAAACTACCTGTTTACCTTTTAGAGGTAAAGTTGTTATGTTGTGAGAAATAAGAGAATTTTCCCAAAGACTAATTGACATGCAATATTCAGGGCAGTGTTTCTCCCTATAATAAGGCCACAGTTAAAAGTTCAGCTCTTCTGTGGGGAAAATCAACACTAAGAAAGCAAAACAGGGAGATAGAAAGATGTAAAATGAAGGAGTAAGGATTAGAAAATTTCTCACACCCATTCCTCAGTCAGTGGGTTTATGTATTTATTTGGTATGGAATTGCAAAGAGATAAAAATGGGCATTCCCTAAGAATCATAACAGCTATAATTACATTTAAAATTAAGCAGTTCATTTCTACTGTATTCACTTACATGGGAGGCATTAATTACTGAATTGCTGCACTAGACTTTTAATTTTGAAAACTATTTGTTTTAGAATCCAAATGCTTTAGACAATGCAGAGTGTTCATACGGGTCTGCATCATGCATGCATGCCAGCCAGGTGACTGGGACAGGCCTCTGCGAGACACAGAAAGGACTGGAACCTTCAGGCAGCAACTGACTTCGGCCTTTTCCTTGCTCAGGCCCTTCCTTATTCAGGCACACAAGTGGAATCACTTACTACTCACATGAACTTTGGCAGGTTATTTAACCTCCCACTGCCTCAGTTTCCTCAGCTGTAAAATGGGATATCAATAGTGTCTACCTCATTGGGCTGTTATGAGAAATAACATGAGTTAATACACGTATAGGGTTCAGACCAGTGCCTGACACATAATAAGCACTCGTTAATTAGTGAGATAGCTTTGATTATAATTATGATTATTATAGAACACGCTCTTAATTTTCAGCTTGAATGCAAGGAAATACATCCATGCTGTGAAAAATCAGTGCACTTGTAAAATATGTCTTTTTTCTGCTCACACACAGATAGGCAACCTAAATAAGCCCTCCAAATTTCAAAGAGGATTTACAGATTTTCTGTACATAAAAGTAAAGGCAACTTTATAATAACCTTGCAGCTCTACTATTAAGAAAAATTCAGAACTTATGCAAGCATAAAAAAGTTTAAAGCAGTGAAAACATGTCTGATTTCATCAGATGTTTTAACTGGCATGGAATGAGGAACATTATCAAACTGGAACAAAAACACTGAGTTTAATTACTGCTACATTAGGAAAGATGAGTTTGAGTGAAGAACACTGTACTGACAATAACCTCACTGATGCAGTGGTTTTGTTTGTTTTATCAGCAAATTGTTTTCTCAAGCAAAACCCCATTTGTGGCAAGAAATCTGTTAGAGAAGCTTTCTAGGCAAATCCAAGTGATGGAGAGACTCTCAGCCGTCAGCGATGAGAACATAGGAAGCATGAGTTCTGTGGTTGAAGGTAAGCGCCTGCAAATCACAGCCCTTCCATGTCAGTGGCGACCTACTAGCCCACTCCTCTGCCTACCAGGAGAGCACAAAGGTGTTCTTGGGCCAGAGAATAGAGCACACAGTGTCATCAACACCACGCCTCAGCTTTTGGAGTCAAACCAGCAGACACACAGCTTTTTCTAGAGGGGCCTCAACCTCCAGAAACCAGATGTCAGAGTGTAAACAAGCAGCAGCCACCTCATAGACAGACTTCCACAGACTTTCTCTGCTGCTGTGGTTCCATTTCAGGACAGATGATCAAATTGTGTCATGGAGCTCATTAAGACAACTCCCATAGCAGCTTACTGTCAAATGCAAGAAGCTCCCAACCGCTACTGGGAAAAGGTAGATACATGGATTCAGAGGCCTTCAGGAGAGTCCCTGGTTCAGAGGGTTTTTGGTGGAGAACTTGACATGGGGAAGATATCTTGGAAATTGTGTGGTATGGCTACAGGGTTCTTTAGGAAACCTAAAAATTTTTGTCTTTTGGTGATTTTCAGTGGAAGTAGCAGAACACAAGGATCTTCAAGGTTAGCTCTGCTTAAGCCTAGAACTCCCTGTAGGTTCTCCCTGTGCATTTCTGCCTCCTGCATCTTGGCCTGCTAGGAGCAGGTGACCTTGGTAAGGATCTGACAGGCATGCAAAAGGGCAGGACATTCAGGCTGTGAGTGCCTAGCGTCCCCTTCTCTCGCAGGCCCCTCCTCACCATCACAACTGCACACAAGTGAAATCTCGACTGTGTGCCGCGCGGCGCAGGGCCCTTGCATCACTTCTGTCTGAGGGCCGCCCGCACCCTTCTCCGGCCGCCCGCTGTCCTGTTCCATCCCCGCCTGAACACTCTCCTGGGGTGTGGCCCTTCGATCCCATACAGGTTTCTGTAAAGTTAAGGGAAGTGGGGTGGTTAGAACGTCTCCCAAGAGTGGGGCTGCTGTGTTCTCCATCCCTGAAAGCAAATGGCTTTGCTTCTGCAGCATTTTCTTTGCTGCCCAAGCTGGATGGGCTCCTCATCAGAACTTCTTGGTTGCTTAGACAATCTGCCAACTACAGAGGAATCATGCAGTTCTGATTAAAAACTACAGTCTTTAAAAAAACAAATTTTCTAAAAACCCCTGATGGTGCCTGCCTGACCCCCACCCCACCAGCTACGGCTCTTCAGTCAGCTTCCTTCAGGTCATGTGTGGACGGACGGGGGTTCTTCTGCTCTTGCAGCCATACCAGGATTCCACACAAAGCTATCTTTGCTGTCATTCTGGACCAAATGCTGTGGCCCAGCTGGTGTCTACCACAGCTCAGCTGACAGGGTGATCGAGCAACTGGAAGCCAGCTTTGCCGGAACTGTCAACAGAGAATATCCAGGACTTGCAGACTCAGGTACAGGGAGGCCGTGGAGGGGGAAGCGCTCCTGCCATCCAGTCTGGGCGTGGGCATTGGTCTGAACTCCCTTGCCATTTCCCCTGCAGCCAGCCCTGAGAAAAGGCTTCCTCTCCAGGGAACCACGTCAGCTACTCAGTAAGATATAAGAAAAGAGAGACTTTGAACACGTGTAATTAAGAATATCATCAGTGACTTTTAAAAGCACTATATTTCTGTATTGCTACTTAGTATATATACTTTTTTCATTAAAATGTCACCAATACAGGAGTATCCAATGGTATAACCACTTTAGAAAAACTGGTAGTTTCTGGTAAAGCTAAATATGCCCTTACCCTATAATCCAACAATTCCACCCCTAAGTATGTCAAGAGAAATATGTGCTTATGCTCACAAAAAAAGGACGTGTAAAAGAAGATCCATAGCAGAATTATTCACAAGAGCAAATGCAATTTGGAAACAAAGCAAATGCCCATCAACAAGAGAACGGATAAATTATAAAATATTCATACGATAGGCTATTACACAGCAGTTTTTTAAAAGAATAAATTACTAATATAAGCAGCAATTTGGATGAATCTCAGAGATATTTTGGTGAGTAAAAGGAGCCAGATTCAAAATACATAACTCCATTTATGTGAAGTTCAGGAACAGGCAAACCTAACTTGCATTGGTACAGTCAGACTTCTAGTTACCTGTGAGGGGCAGGAAGTAACTATGGACTGCAAGGGGGCACAAGAGAACTTTATGGGCTGCTGCCAGTGTTCTGTGTCTTGATCCAAACGACAGTTATACAGGTGTATTGATGTCCACTGAAGATTAGCTCACTTTACATACTCCATCATATGACATATAAAAAGATGAATGAATGAATGAATGAATGACCTTGCTTCTTAAAAGCTGCTTCGTATCTTCCCCTTCCAAACAGTGTTTCAAACCTTGGTGTCCCAAATCCTGGACCAGGCTGAGCCCCTGCTTTCCTCTAGCCTCTCCTCAGAAGTCATCACCGTTTTCCAGTATTACAGTTACTTTACCAGCCACAGTGTGAGCGACCTAGAGAGTTACTTAAATCAGCTGGCCAAGCAAGGTGGGACATGTTCTTTTGTCACACTGTGTGGTGTCTCAATTTGGAATTTTCTTTGATGTTTTTAGTCACAGATTTTAGTGATGGTAACCTTTTTTTCCCCAAGTCAACAGCTAGGCTGACATTTACCTTTTATATGACATCTGGACCCTTAACATTAGTAAGCTTCTTGGCAATGAACCAGGGACTTACTAAGAGCATCCCCACCATCCAGCAGCGGTGTAACAGTAACAGGAACCTGGTAAATTACCTAAGACTTCACTGCAGTTTCTTTCCTTCATTAATGTATTTGCCGTTTCTAGGATGAAGCCTACAGGCAATATTATTTTATGTTGGTCTTTTTGGTGGCACTTTCCTAATAATGAGCAGAAATGGAGTTCAAAAGAAGGCAAGTGGAGTGACATATTGGGAACGTAAAGGAGGGAAGAATGGAAAACCACAGCTTAGGCCACATGTCCAATGCACCAATATGGGAGCTTGGCCGCGAAACTCAGGATTGCCTTCTCATGCGGGACCTCGAGTATCAGACATAAAATCAGTCTCTGCAGTGAGTGAACTCCTCTTCAGGAGCGGAGCCACTGCAGACGGGCTGGTTTCAGGTTCCCAAGTTCTTGCTCTGCATACCCAACAAGGCTTGATGGTGGAGTGTAAAGGGTGGCAACGTGCTGTGTTCTTGGGAAACAGGTTGGCACAGCATCAGGCTGGAGCAGTGTGTCTGGCCCAGACCCAGGCGTGGCCCTTCTCTTTTCAGAACATTAAACCCGCAACACACATCCAGCACAGAAGAAAGTCTTTCTGCACCCGGTGCCATACCAGCCCGAGCATGGGACAGTCTGTGCATAGCACATCCCCAGTGGCAGATGCTGGCACAGGGCACCAGAGGGAGAGGGCCCGGCAGGAGACAGGCACGGTGTCAGGACCCAGGGTCTCACTCTATTATACTCTTCATTTCTTGATTCGAAATTTGTCACAGTCTAAATCATTTTTCTGAGTAAGTTTCTGGATTGCTCAATTGACATCAATTGCAGTTAACTTCTCTAAGCGTCTTATTATGTAACCCCAGAGAAAACACACACACATCTCAGTAATGGAGGATGGATAAGAGAATAACAATGCAAAAATCCTAATGTTTACATGTCTTTTTTTTCTTTCTTTATGAAAGGAAAAGTCCTTCCTTATAAAAACAAAACTAGAAAAATATAGAGGTAGAAAGGAAAAGATTCAAATCCCCTATTCTCCTACTTTGAAAATTTTATTGTCTTTTTCAGTTGAAAGTGCATGGGTTTTAGATTTTAAAATTGTGGTTGCTCATCATAGACTATTATATCCTAGTTTTACTTGACATTATATCCCATGTTATTAATTCTCTGAAACATATCTTTAGTTTTATAATACTCCTGTATGTGGGAACATACCAACGTATTTGGTTATTGTTGAATGTTTAGGTTATTTGTTTACTTAGTTGTTTTATATAATACTATCTCGACTTTTGACTGTGGTATTTATTAAGCAGTGAAATTACTGGAACATCCACAGTGGGAAAAGTAGGAAATTAAAGCAAAAAAAAATCTTTTATAATTCACAAACTTGTGCAGTGTGTAGAGGATGCGGCTCTATCAATGGAACGTGGATTTTAGGCTATTTTCCCATCTCTACTGACCAGATACACCTTTGACGTGACGTTTTTGTGCCTGATGGGCTCCTGTGCTGGACATCTCGTTAGGGACTGGAATACATTCCTTAGTCATGAAACATGGTCAGTTTGTCCAAATGGGACTCAAATTCCTATTTTTTGTCATATTGCCTCCATAATCCAACCAAATAACTGTATTTTTCCATCAGGAATCAACTATCTGAGTGCAGCCAAAGAGAACACGGTTAGGGTCATTCAGGGTTGGGATTTGCCAGACAGGTATGACTGAAATAGAGAGGGGCAACAGAGCCTGCTGTATCTGGAAGGCTATGGAGTTTTTACTGTTACTTTGTCACTGTTCATTTTATAGTTGACTACTTAATTCACCTATAAGTTAATTTAGTTGCCATTATGAGATGGAGACCCACCTTCACTTTCTTCTCATATGATTTGTCATTTGCCTTAATATAGTTATATGAATAATCTGTCTTCTCACAAATTGGAAACATCACTTTTATTATATGCTTATTTTTCATATATATTGGGATCTGTTCTTATGTATGTATTTGAATCTTGTTTATATTTTTAATGAGCTTGTACTTTATTGTCAGAAGGTGACCTATGTATTCTCTGCTCTCTAGTTTCCATGGTTCAGACTCTGCAGTCACTAAGAGATGAAAAGCTGCTCCGGGCCATGACTGACCTTGTGCCCAGCGGCCTCCCAGCCCAGCAGGAAGTACTCAGGACACTGGCTCTGCTGTTGACCGGTGCTGACAGCACAGTCAGTGAGGCTGTGATGCGCTACTTGGCAGCAGCCTCTAGAAACAAGCACTTCAGAGAAAAGGTAGGGCACAGTATTGTGGACATCAAGCCAGAGGCTTGTTTAATTTTCTATCATTTACTCTTAATATTTGGTCATCAATTCTTTTACAAAAATAGTTTTCTTCTGCTTATTAATAATATATATTCTGGACAACAGTTTACTATAATAGTTAAGTGCCTTAAAGTCCAGCCCCCAGAGAAAACTATTAATAACTTAATGTATATTCCTTCAGATTGTTTCCTGGAGATCTAGTTTAGAGATTGGAGTATATTCCTTAGTTATGGAACATGGTCAGTTTGTCCAAATGGGACTCAAAGTCCCGCTTTTTGTTGTATTGTACATCCTAACATACATAATCATTTTTTCTTAAATGAGCTTATACTGTTCTGTCATATAACTGTGTTTTTTTTAATGTAATGTATCATGGTTATTTTCCATACGAAAATATATTGATATACTTTATTTTATAGGTTAATGGTGTCTCAGTATATATGGATATCCCATAACTTATTTTATCATTCCATAATGTATGGGCATTTGTGTAGTTTCCAGCTCTGAAAAATTTTCTGCTGAACACACGTGTATGTACACACATATGACAGACATACCTTATGAGAAGTTTGGGGTCAAGTCATCAAACTATTGGGTCCAAGAGCTAGAATATTTTTAATTTTAAAAGCCATCATCACTCCTATTGCTAGGAAATAAGCCATTTGCCTCTCCCTTGGCTTTGATCCAATAACCATCCTGATGTAACAGGCCATCTACAATTCAAACACGCTGGGGCCTGTTACAGCCATGGTTTCAGTCCACTGGGAGCCCTTTCAATTTGAACAGTAATTCTGAAAACTAACTCACACTGACCTCAGAAACATAACTCACAGTGACCTTAAGAAAATTAAACTTGGCCCATCTTGTCCTTGGAAATGTCAAATGTTGAACTCTGAGAAGAGTAGCTTTCCTAAGGTATTCCTAAACTAGGGTGGTGGGATGTTTGTGTGCTCATAAAAAGATATCCCATTCTAACAAAATAGTGGTAGACTTATAGACACTGAGAAGGAACTAGTGGTCACCAAAGGGGAGGGACTGGGAAAGGTGGGAAAGGACGGAGAAGGGGGGATTAAGGGGCACCATATTTCACAATCACAATTATAGGTTGGTCACAGGGATGGGCACAGAGACAACAATTAATGATTCTGTGACATCTTAGTACATTGATGGACGGTGACCACACTGGAGGGGGTGAGGACTTGATAATATGGGTAAATGTTGAACCACTGTGTTGTGTATTTGTAACCAACATAAGATTGTTTATCAGTGATACTTCAATTAAAAAAAAAAGATGTTCCATTCAATACCATTTTGGCCCAAGAATATGGACTTCATATTATTGCTTCCTACAAGATTCTGGTCTTTTAGTGGGATTAGCTCAAAAGGCTTTTCTGTGGGCCAATCATCCACACCCCCATTGAAGAGAGAGGAAGAAAATTAAAGAAGTGTGAACACTGCTGGTGGCAGTTACACAGGCATTTATCTGCGTGTGCACTCTGTGAGGAGGATGGTGACACTGTTCAGCCCTAGCAAGGAGCCAGTGGCCCGGTGTCCCCTGACCAACAACAGCAATGACAGACGACAGCACAGCCGTGCTTTGCTCCTCTGTATGCGCCTTTGCTTTTAAGGCACATGCCGCAGGCTGTGTGCTGCCCTCTTACCCAGTTCAGCTCTCATGTTTATTCTCTTGGATTCATTTTCTACAAATGAGCTTGTTCAGTGACTGCTGCTGTCCCAGGCACTGTATGGAGGCTTTTGTGGACATAGTGGACGTAAAGGGAAAATAGTCCCCTCCCCCCCTTGGAGACTTTCCAACCTTGTCCAAAAAATAATAAATAATAAAACTGCCGATTACTAAGTACCTACTAAACACCAGGCACTGTGCTATGACGTCACTCGCCTGTCTTCTTTCTAACAAAATGAATGTTATTATCCTCCATTTTATACATGAGGAAACAGCCTCTGAAGATTTAAGCTTGGCGAGGACACCACACTAGTTAAGGGGTACAATTTGAATACCACCTAAAAATGTTTGATCTCCCCTCCCCACCAAACCCTGAAGACTTTCCGTTTTTTCTTATATGAATTAGCAAAAGTCAGTGCATTAATTCTGTACTGACATAATGAAGAGCTTAAAACAATGCAAAAAGTTGGTGATCCTATAAATCTTGAACCTTGGTTCAAGAATCATGGCTATTAAAACATACCAAAAGTTGTGTGTTTTGATTTCACATTCAATATTTTTTACCCCCCACCTAAACAAGTAGGAAATAGTTATTCTCCAGTCAGACTGCTGCACTGGAGCGCCGTCGCTTCTTCGGTCACCGAGCGCCCGACTCTCTCGCGTGCGCAGGGGCTTCTTGCTTCACGGTGCGCACTTTGTTTGCTTCCTCGCCACCTGAGTGTCACAGCGGCTGCTGTCAGACTGAAGTGAGTGACGTGATTTGTTTTGCGAGGCACGGGGACGTGCCAGGGGTGTGCCACATGCTCCCTTGGGCCAGGAAACAGCTCCCAGTCCCGCTCGGGCCGGTACAGGTTTCGTCTTCATGCTCCTCGTTAGGTGCTGGGAGCAGAAATGCTGTGGGAGTGATCCTGGGATGGAATCAAGAACTTGACAAAATATGTGGCCACGGGAAGAGAGATAACTCTAAGAAATATAAATTACTTAGAAAGAAATTAACTTGGTAAAAATAAGAAAATTTATTTTTATGTCAAGATTTTTATACAAAGCATCCATATCTCATGTATCGCACTTGGCACCCGCCTCTTGCTGGAACTTACCGCCTCCTCCTTTCTTCCTCTCTGACGGGATGCCAGATTCTCCCTCCATATCCCACTTGAAATCTAGCCATGTTTCCAGTCCAAACATCATTTTCATGAAACCTGCATGGCACCGTAGCGGGTGATTTTTTCCCATGTGACTGACTTAGCATCTTGTAGCTTTCTTATGGAACTAACACATTTTTTCTCTGCAGTTCCCTCTGAACAGTCTTAGTGTTATGGAAAATACTGGAAAAACCTAGGCTGGATCACTAATGGAAGAACCAAGCGGCACTCGGATGTCTTGTACTGTTGAGGTTTATTTTACACCGGCGGGCTCAGAGGGGAGTCATCTCCCAAGGTCTGAGCCCCGAACAAAGGCAAGGGGAGTAATATGTATCTTTCTGCTTCCGTATCTGCAACATTTCTACGTGCACAGCAACTGAGCAGGCAGGGGAGTAAGTTCAGGGCGTGAGGTTAGGGAGTGAGTGCCTGGCAGAGCGGGGAGTGAAGGGCGGGGTAAGCTAAGGGAGTTTCTGTTGTCTTTTCTCAGAAGAGCAGCAGAAGGGGGCCACCTGGACTAGACTGCTCTCCTTGTCACTTTTTCCCTATCACTCCGCCATCTGATGTCCCTTTAAACACTTGGTTTTAGGGAGCATCACCTCCTTGGTTTATGATACAGTCATAATGGCTCTGCATATACATGGCTGTACAGAGCAAATGCGTTCCCAGATAAAGTTAATGAGCTACTTAAAGACAAGGGTCTCACTAGTAGTTCAAGGAGCAACAGAAACGCTGGCCCAGCAAGGCCAGTTGAAAGAGTTGTTAGCCATGGATTCTATTCTAACATTTGTAGCTCGGAAGGCGCAAATGTCAGAGGGGTGTTGCGCAATTGGAGAGGATGGGCACCTTTTCAGAGGGACGATTAAAATTAGAAAGGAGTGCGAGGGGCACGTGCCACCACCCTGCCCCCACCCCCCCGGCCTCCTTGGCACACTTTTTTTAGTCCAGCTCTCTACCAACTTTGAGCAGTAGGAGCTGAGGACCCTCAAGGGACTGAAGGCAGACCCCGTAGTAATACTAAACTGCTTAATCTGTTATGGAAAAACTTGAGAGGTCAATATTTTGCAGTAAACTGGCTCTTTACTTAGTGCCTTCAGGGCCTGCTTGACCTTTCCATCCCTGCCCCTCGGGCTTGGCTCTGGACTCCCCACCATCAGACGTTCCAGTGTGGGTAAGGCAGGTCCAGTGGGCAGTGGGTCCCTTTCTTCCCCTAATTGCACAGTCTGAGTCTCATTTATTTATTGTTTTAGTTCACTGACTTTCCCATCTTTAAGGCAAAGGGCTGTGCTGTTCTTATCATAACATTTAGCAGGCACGTAGGTGTAGGCACTGAACCTGGTCCCCCATTTGTCTGACTTTATGCAACCACACTGAGGTTCCCCAGGAGTGAGGGGGAGAAAGGGATGGGAAAGAAGATATAAAAATAACGTTATAGAGTGGTAGTGGGAGATGCAGGCTGAGACTTGAGTACGGTCAGGAGAAACAGGCAAGCAATGTACACACTGTCACTAGGGGGCATCTGAGCCTTCTGCTTGGCTGGACATCCGTGAAGTCTATCTCAAGGTCTTCAAAGGGGGCAACTCCTGCTCTTTGGACGCTGGGCGGGGGTCGTGGTGCAGATAGAGCATCATTTCTGGCACAAGTTATGTACTGCTCACTTACTGCTCAGCATAATGCTGGCAACTGGCTAATGCAGTATTGCTTGTGTTTTTAGTCAGGGTGGCTTCTTCAGCTATGGCTCAGTCCTTTTCTTTTTTAGTGTGCTTGGGTGGAGGGGCCTCCACTGGGGGTGTTAGGGCCATATTGGAGGGAAGGAGCTTTATCTGTTTTGTATTGGCCACTGTTTGAGCTGCTTTATCTGCTCGCTGGCTCCCCTGTGTTATAGGGTTGTTTTCCTTTTGGTGCTCTTTGCAATGCAGAATTGCTACTTTTTTATGTATGAAGAGATTGAATGGCCTTTTTATATCTGGCAGGCCTAGGGCTGGTGCCTGTTCTGAAGCAGCTTTTATTTCCAGGAATATGGCTCTTCCCTCTTTGGTCCAGACAGGGGGCTTTCAGTCTGGCACCCCCCAGGAGGCTGTAGAGGGGTCTTGCCATTGCTGAGAATCTGGGAATCCAGATTCTGCAGAACCCGGTGGCCCCCAGGA